TTATTATTTTTTATCTTACATTTCTTAAGAACGAATCGCCTTTCAAATATGTCAATCTCTCTGTACTTAAAGTTATTACATTGTTCAACTGTAAACCGTTTATAGTGTCCCGCGGTTTACCTAAATTAACCATACTGAAACTTTTATTCTTGCTGTTCTCTAATGAATTATCTTTCTCGAATAACGATAGTAATGGCAATTCGTTCAACCGCTTTTCAGCATTTCGTTTTTGTGCAACAGCAGATTCATTCAGATCATCTGTCACCTTTTTATTTAAGCAGTTTTCACTTGACAAACGAGTGATTCGTTTTGCTTTTATCGGCGACGAATTAGCGCTGGAAGATAAGAATAACGATTTTCTTACAGATGTTTGTTCTGTTTTCGACTTCGAATTTACATCACTATAATTATTTAATTGTGCAGAACGCGATTCTTTTGTAGTATTTAAGCAATTATCATCAGCTTGTTTCATTGTAAAGCATTGGGCATTATGCTTGAGATTTGTGTCATGCGGATCAAATTCGAGATTATCAGTCTTATCGTCTACGATATCATTTAAACTGTGATACTTCTCTACTGAATTATTATCCATATTAAACGATAGATTAACATCGCTACTGCTTTGAGATTTGTTATTACTAAAGCCAAAGTTGAGAATGTTGTTTGGCACATATTTTGCTATACTTTCGTATATTCCTTTCTCTGTAAACCTTGAGCCTAAATTAAATATATTCATTTTTATAGGACTGTTACTCAAAGATTTCGATGCATTCATCTTTAAACCGATTTTTTGTTTGCTTAACGTCATCGAATCTGCGACTTCGTTATGTGATTCTTCAAAGTGCGTCATTAACGGCATATTTACAAACGAACTTCTGAATGTTTGAAAATTTTCGGACAATTTCTTCAACTGATTGAAATTTTTTATAGAATAATCTCTGCTTTCTAGAACATTTAATTTCTGCGTTAAATCCTTCAATTTTGTACTTTCGTCGTTATAAAAATGTAAATTAGACGGCTCTCCGTTTCTGTCGAGCACAGAATTCTCAAGCGATAAATTATTTACATTGTCCATGTTAGTTTTTAATTCTAATTCCCATTGCGAGGACGTCGCTTCGCTTCCGTCCACAGATCTCTTGCCAAGATGCTCGGCATCCTCTTGTAATTGACACTCAACATTCTGTAACATAACAGTGAACTGAAAATCTTTGTAGAAAATTTCTGTTATGGCAAAAACGGTCATAACGCGTTTACTAACATTGTAATTATCTATTCTATTGTACTTGATCAGTTGATTCTTTGTAATATCTTTTAGTTTATTGCCATTTAATTGAGTAAATTCCATGTCGTAGCTTCCAGTCTTTTGTGGACTAACTAACTCTGCGCCGACGCCTGGTTCCCTGGGCCCGTTAGCTATAAAATCTAGAAAAATATAATTTTTTTTATCTAAGAGTTGAGGAGATTAATCTGTTATATAATTTAAATATTATACCAAAATCTTTGCGTTGTTGATGTATTTGATTACTGATCTCCTCTAATCTATTAAGGCTCGTGGAGTAATTAGTCTTTGCGTCTTGTATTGCTTTTTGCAAACATTCGACTCGCTCTGCCTGAGTCGCCAACATTTGATCGCACTGTGCTTTGATTTCAAAGTACGGGCGCGCCTTTATTATGTGTCGGTGATGTTTTTCAGCTAACTGTAGCAATCTTTTCTCGGCATCGTGAAACAATATCGCTCTTCTATAATGTTCCCTACCACACTCCGCTTTCTTATTTTCTGCGTCCATGACCTGGGTCAATGATGATAGATTAAAATAAGTTAAAGGAGTATTCTGGTTTTGAATTTGGAGACTTCGGAGACCTAATACACACACTGACTTAATATAGCGCGTTTCATATTCGACTTACTTTAAGAGTTGCATGATTCAACATATCCTGCCAAGCTTGATCGAAATTCCATTCATGCTGATGAGACATAAATCTACTTTCAGCTAATGCCACTGTTTCCTTTGCTGCTGCATGAATTTCGCTCGCTCTTTGAAACTGTTGAGCTTGCTGCTGGCATTTTACCTGCATAAAGTATTTCTTTCATTTTATCTCATCTGACAATCTAACAGGTTTATCAATTCGTTTCTCACCTGAGCTTGACGCGCTTCCTCCAGCGCTTCGTAATAACATCGTGCCCTCTCGACAGAACTGTTCCCTACTTTATTTATTATCTCTGTTAATCTTTTCGTAGTCTCGGATAACAACTGTCTAAAAGCTGTGTGAGCTTCCTGTATAATAAAAAGCATTTTCTAAGTTTATTTCATGAACTTAAATTTGTTTTCAATACGAAATGCTTAAGTATTATTAACATTATTTTTTTCAAATGACCGATCTCATAAAGGAATTAATAGAACTCACATCTAATTCCGTTTCAAGTTTGTTTATATCGTCAGTCGCATCATTTAAATTCTCCAACTCAATCTAAAAATGTTGAATTCGTTATTAGAAACAAGAAAACTTATAAAAGATTTTGCAGTAAACAACGTCTGTATCGTAACATTCTCAGTGGTAGAACATAAAAAATTAACATAACAATCGAATAATCATTTCACTAACTCGTAACTATTCAACATAACAATTATTTTAACGAGAATTGATTAGCTGTTAATACAAGCAAGTTAAAAATACACATGATCACACATTTGAAGTACTTTAAATAGATGGTGCATAGAATTATTGCTTAAATATTATTAAGATAGCTAAATATCATGTTTACATTATTTCCTTGCGAACAAAAACAAAGTGAAAGCAAAGTGGAACATGGTACCAGGCTGTATTAGGCGTTACGATCGGCGTTTAGTAATCAATTATTCACGCATATAACCTATTACAGTCGGGCGTGCCTTGAAAAATTTATACGCTAACGCAACAATAAGGGAACAAAAAAATGATAACGAAAATGCGATTACCTGTATGCGAGGATCTAAAGCTTCGTCAGCGTTATCCGCAACGTCCATTCTTCACTCCCTTTAACACTTAAAGCAACTTAAATAACGCGAGAATTCAATCCATTCTGAGTTTCTATGCATGTAACGATCGTCCGAATCATGAACAACTTTTATAATTGATGCCGAACGGAATGATTAGCTGTCATTCACATTTTGAAGGGAAACAATGCTAAACAATTACAAGGAACATCGCAGACACTTGTGAATGAATCAAACCGTACTTCATCGAATTGCCTGCGTATACCCAGCTGCCAGCTAAGAGCGAGCTATTGTAAGACGAGGTACGAGAGGAACCTGTAATAATTTCATGGAACTTTCTGCAACTGAAATACCGATCACATAAAAGATTAAAAAATTGTCAACGAATTTCGACATTTTATTTATAATTACTAAACAATTGTCCTATTGTAGTCTCATATTAAAAATATTGTTCGTTAATCGTTTAATCAATGTACTTAACAAATTAAACGTTGACATAAAGTAGAATGTGTACAGTTTTCTGAAAGAAATTCTCATTGTTATATTAATATTATCTTTACAAGGAATTTTCATTGTTTTATTGATTAAAACATACAATCGACAATCCTATTTTTGTTTTGTGTGCATCATACCATCAGAGAGGAAATGACCACCCGGGATTTGTATGTTCCCCATACTAGTGCTGTTCCCAGCTTTTTCTCGCAGCGATTTGACAAGTTCAGTTCAAATGATAAAAATGGTTCTTTCGTTCTCTTGTACATACATATCAGAGAGAAAAACTTTCTCTCTGATGGTATGAAATCACATGCACATGTATGCGTTGTTTTAAAAGAATATGTACTCCTTATATACGAAGAACGTGTATCTAATAAACATGGCGGCTGCCAAGTGACAACGCGTTTTGCTGTGTTAAGTGTTTTTGAGTTTTGTGTTCGTTGTATGATTATTTCTAGGCAGTACGGCAGTACTTTAAGAAACGATCATTTCGTTCCGCTGAAGGGTCAAAACAGAAATATCTTATCGGATGAACTAATTAAATAAATTTCCAACGAGACCCATCGTGGTGAATCAGAAATCATACGTGCATTTAAATCAAGGCAAGTACTTAAATACTTTCGAATATATCCAGATTTCACGCTAGGTGATTATTATTAAACTTAACAAAACGTTCGACCGATCAATTTCAGTTGAATCGACTCAATTTTATTGTTTATAAAAATATATTTCAAAAATGTTCAATCGATTTCCGATTAATCATTTCGTTAAACGTTTCATACTCCTGATATAATTAAAATCCTCTTAAGTTAATTATTCCTTTTTCTTTCAGAGAAGTGGACGTCCATAGCGAATAAAAATGCCTACACAAACAGACAATGATGATATTCGAGTGAAAATTGTTTATAATGGGTAAATCATATAATTCTTTTCATGATTTGATGTGGTAACCTTGTACTATAAAAATAACCTCTTATCATAAAAGTAAATATCCATGTGCACGGCAAAGGCTTAATATTAACTTGGTTATAGAAGTTCTATATAAAATGAGCCAATTATTACGACCATATAAATATAGCTAACATTATTTAAATAATACGTGACAATGTATTGTTATATGTAGACTACAGATTTTTCTGCAAAGTAAAATATTTATATTATCAGTTAAAAAGATATATTTTATTATATAAAGATTATAATATCTTATCTTTTAATATTCTTACACATGACAAGTATTCTTTTTATCTTCTGTAGATATAATTTTTCTATAAATGCATCAAATCTGCATTCTAGTGATATATTATTATAATTTTTATATCCTTGTATAAATCCTTTTAATTATAAATGTATACAAGTAGTATAGTCTAATGCATTAGATTAGATAATCGAACAGATTTTAGATATTTGTATATATTTTTGTTGTATTCAAAATAAAGAGAAGTAAAACGGATAGTTTTGTAATATAGCACATGTGAATTTGCTGTTAGATAGTATATCTTACCATTTCCTGTTCAAAGCCGGATTTCTGTTGAATTTTTCAAAGTACTAATAGTATATTCAACTTTTGTCTTAAAATTATTTATTTTTGAGAGGTTTATTTACTGTTTAATTACTGCGTTTGTATAAAAATCACATTATCAAAAAAAATTAATTACAAAATTGATAAGTATACTGCTGTCTTCATGCAAAATAATTTTTGAATGTCAGTGTAGAAAATTAAATCTTAATAGGAATTTCTTTTGTATTTTAAAAATCACAATCATTTCGAATCAAATCATAAATTTCACTTTAGATATTTTCTATGTCCTTAAACATTGAATGAAGTTTTTATATTTTCTGTCTACCATTTTTCTATGAATGCATAAAATCAGCAGTCTATTGATAAAATTGTTTTATACATGTATTCTAACCGACATCTCAGTTCTGTATTTTTTGATTTTATGTAATTCCTTGTTTATTGCTTTTATGTTGATGCAATGAAATACTATACATATTAATACAGCAACAAATCAAATCTTATTAATTAGCTTTAATGAAAAAAGATTGTAATGATCTATATTTGTATTAGGGAAGTGCAGATTACGTATATCACTCCTGGAATTTCGGTAGATACACTGCGGGAAGAAATGCGTACAATATGTGGTTTCGGTACCGCGGGACCGGATCAGTTCACCATGAAATGGGTGGACGACGAGGGAGACCCATGCAGAATCGCTTCCCAACAGGAACTGGATGAGGCGCTCCGCCTCTCCGAATTGGAAAAGGACACCGAAATAACTATACATGGTAAGTGTCTCTTATAAACTTTTACACGAATTAAGAGAGGACGTTTTTATATTGTACATAATGTACCAACAGCACTAGATAATTTGTATTTTATACACGATGTCTAGCTTTGTACACATTTTCAAATATAGAAGATTCCCATTTTCTAAATATCAATGGAAAACATCTATATGAAATATGAATTATTTCTTAACGAGTTTTGTTGGGAATTAATTTTATATTTGCATCGTGTTTAGTTGATCACTAGAAATCTGTTGAAAGGTTTCATTGGAATTAAATGATTTATAAATTTACAGGATTCACGTTATATTAATTTAAAGTTCTCGATAATACGAAAATTGTTTCCAAAGTGCTAATTGGTATGCGCGCATTATTATTCATTGTGTGATATTAAATAACGTTCAGTATAATGTAGTGCAGTGTAATATAGTAATTAGTTAAACGTAATTCTTTGTCAAACAACTTTTCAAATATTGCGGAATACTATCGTATTAACTATATTTTTGCATATTATACCCATTTCCAAGTTCTTAATGTAATTTGCTGGAAATCCATAAAAATTCGTGGTAATTATTACCGTAACGCCTGTAAAATGTTACCAGTTGAATGTTCTTTACATTTTCTAAACAGTTACGTATTGTTACGTACTGCGTTGCAACACAAATGGCGAGCCGAGCGTTTAACTCGATTGAGTGACGTGGTCGTTACTCTTTCTCTCTCGTGTTAAATACTCTTTAACGAACATCTTGAAACAATTGAAAACGATTACCTACTTAATGATAGGATGGGATAATTAGGGAATTTATTTTATTCTGTATGATCATATCTATTTATAATTCGCATTAAACATATCATATTCCACCCACGCACTTGATTCTCCAAGGGACTTAAAAAATGAAGAGAGTCGTAATGAAGCAAAAGCGAAAGAGGAAAGGGATTGGAGCAAGAATTACTTGGATCGAAGAAACAGAGATGAGAAGCTGGTGTGAAACATACGAGAAGTGAAACGATAATTGAGAATAACTGATGAGTGGATGAGGAGAGAAATGTGAAAATAAGAAAGAGATAAACAGCGGGGAAGGAAGGCAGCGAAGAAACGATAATGGGCGAGGAGCGTGGGGATGAAGAACAGCAAGAAACGGATAAGAGGGTGAACGAAAGGGGCGGGATGTACGGGAAATAGGCGGTGAAGAAAGGAAAAGGGTCGGGTAGTTTGTTAAAGAGAAATCACTCCTGTTTCCCGGAGTGTGCCTTTATTTCAGCGTTTGCGCATTTCGTAGAGTAAAGCGCGTCGGGCGGCGGCGGTAGTTAACGAATCCCGCGGCAGCAGTCGATACTCTTACGCGGACCGATTAGCCACGAACTTTCTCCATCGAAACGCATCCGCACCGAGACCGGTCGAGGCGCGTTCGAACGTTAAAAGATATTATTATACCTTATCGAAAGACTCGGTCTTGACAAACAAAATCGAGTGAGAAACCAAAAAAAAGAAGAAAGAGAGAGGTAAAAGAGGAACGGGGGGACGGTGTTCCAAATAAAATAGAAACTTGAAACGAAGCAAAAAAAGCTGAGAAGGAGAAGAGAGAAAGAGTGGCGCGTTGATTAGCCAGTGAAACATTGGCGAACAACGATAACGGCACTCGCAACGAGAGTGAAGGCTTTGCGGCAGATTTCAATGGTCCGCGATTCATGTCGAGAGGTTGTGACAACGTACCTTTAACAATCGGTGTTGTCAGCGAGAAGAGGTTGCAAAAGTGGCGATAAACCAGCATCGATCGCGCTGACTCGTCGCATTCTCAGCCGGGTTCTCCTGCAAGAGGTCGGGCTACGGTAAAAGACGAGGACAGAGAACTGCGTACGAGTAACGAGGAGAGCGATATCCTCCGCTGGAAGATAGCGGCGAGGCGAAGCGAGACAGACAGACGGAGAGAGAGGCGAGAGCGTGCGCACCGGTACCCGTCAGAAGGAAAGTAGGGAAAACTTAGGGGTGGGAGTTGTAGAGGGTAATAGCGAGCAAAAGACGGGAACCAGTGGTGGACGATTGTTGGTGGACGATATCAGACAGCCGGGATAGGAAGGAAAAATCGTCGAGATAAATACGGGTAAACTGCTCGCGAAATGGCTTGGGGTTACTGGAGCGCAACGTCGGTTAGCGATCGGGGTCGGTCACCCCGTCGCGAGAAGGATAAACAACAGCAGCCGCATCAGACATTGCATCAGCAACAGCAACAGCAGTACCATCAGGCTGAAACGACGACGGCCGTCTCACAGGGGATGTACGGCGTACAGCAGATACAAGGTGAGCTCGCCGGTATCACCACATCCTCTGCCGTGTCCACAGTTCCCGGTGCTGTCGCCGCAGTGGAGGAACCACCCTGCATGATACAGGGTGGTTCCTTCTATTCTTACACCGCGGCTACGGCGGCGGCTGCGGCCGCTGCAGGGCGTAGGATACCGCCTGTCATCGAAGGTGGACCTTCGACCTCTTCCACCGGCATCCAAGTACTACCGAGGGAGCGGCCGATAAAATTAAATACCAGCACATATCCGCCGTCGCCGAGCAGCGATTCGGCCGAGTATGAGCAGCCGCTGGCCAGTCTGCGAAGCGAATGCTCGCCCCACAATAGTCCCCGCGACGATATATTCGCCCAGCCGGGCACCTCCTCCTCCAGGATCAAGCTGATCTGCGACAAGGGCTTGGACGACACGTCCGAGCTTGACCTCGACGAGGTCACCGCGACAGAGATGATGTACGCGACCGCTAACCGAGCTATAGGGACTAATACGTGTCTCGTGCATGGAACATGTAATCCGACATCAGACGCGGGAGCACCCATGCCGCCCCTGATCGACGACTCCACCGGATCCTCGCAATTTTGGTTCAACGACATCACCTGGGGTAGGTCTTGACCTGGCTCCTTGCTAAAACGAACTGAAAACTAAGTTCCGCCGAACCCATTGCAACGCACGATCGTTAGCGAACGCCTTTCTCTTTTCTTTGATTTATTAGCAGTTTTTCATTTTTTATTTTCTATTACGTTCTTTCTTCGTTACATACTGCACGTATATACATACATAATACATACATGCATACGTAGCTATCTTGCGTACGGTTATCGATTTTAGTGAACAGCTGGTTTTAATCGTTAATCGGAATCAAGTATTATTACACGTTTGAACACTGTTCAAGCGCTCGGATGGAATTGGAGGATATCGATCGCGGAGAATCGTGTGTGTTTTTGATACTGCGGCGTGATAACATGTGCGCTTATCTAATCTATGTCACCGTGCCTTTTCGCCTATTTCTATATGTGTGTCCGATAATTTCTAAAGTATCCATTGCCATTACGTTCCGGTCGGTATTGTTCGATCCACGATGAGTGTCACCGTTTGCACATATACGCATCCGAAAATTCGTTTCAATCCTCTCGGCAGATACCGTTGAGTGCACGACTCTAGTAAACGTTCGTACGACGGAAATGTCGTAACTATTCTTTAGTCGATGGTCCGCTAATCTGACGAAGCGAGTCAGAAAAGAGTTGCATCAGTGATCATTAAATGTTTCAATGAGCTGTTTTGTAATGAATAGGGTCATTATCGTCGACTTTTTCGATTATTATTTTAGTGAGTGCTCGATTTTCTCCGTTTTTATTATTATACTAATACAGTATTGATTAACTTTAAAAGACGATAAATATTTATTCAAATACTCATTGATATGTGAAGTGTAAATAAATGTTCAAGACGCGTGAAGTGGCAACATATACTGACACGAGTTTAGAATTAGGATTACTTGCTTGCTTCTGTTTGAGTCTAACTATCATTAGCGATTGGTAGCTAATTTAACTTGTTGTAATTGCATTAATGCGTAATAACTAACGCATATGCTTTTGCCTTGAAGGTAAAAGTTTTTTACATGAATATACGCAGTTAACAAATTGAATGTCATCCTCCACGTGCCAAATTATACAAAATCTTTGAGACTTGAATTAAAGTACCTGAACCTAGATTTAAAAATACCGCATATAACTTTTGTCTATTTTAAATTATAAATTATATCATACGTTGTGACACTATCTAGGTTTAGTCTTTGAAAGAATTAATGTAATAAAATAGAATATAGAATTTTTGCATGATATTTGAAAATAATATATGGATACTTCCGACGGACAATTAGAAATTTTATGTGTCGTTACACAACCTTTAAATTATTATATTTTTAGATAAACTGTAGTTATCTACTTGAGAGATTTATTGTTCCTCGACTTACTAAGAATGAAAAAGGTTGTACCTCTATACACATATATATATATACATACACATAAAGGTTACACAGTTCCTGAAGGATGCTGAAGAGTATCGTATTAAGAATAAAACAATGCTGAAGCTCTTCACTCGAGAAGACAAGAATGACGTTAAAATTGTATATCCCCCGAAACGTATTTTTGTCCCTTGGATTCACGTGACGTTCTGTCACATTCTCTCTTATTGTTCCTGCTTCTCTTATTGTATTCAAAGGTTTTTCAAATCTTCTTGTAGATAGAAGATATTTAAGATGAATCAAAATAACGTTTCACCCCTGTAACACTTTACCAATGATGCCCAATAAAGCTGTACTAAACAGAAACGTTTTTTATTTGAAACATCGTGGTTCTTACCAAATGTGCTAAATAGTATATACGTTATGTATTCCCATTAATATTCAGACTAACTTTTCAAAATTAAATATTAACATTTTTAGGAATTTTTTGTAGAAGTATCTAAAATACATAATGAATTTGTTTGAAGTGAAAACAATCATCAACAGGTATTTAAAATACCCAATGGATTTGTTCGAAATGAAAATAACTCAAATTACACGAGTACTTCCTTAATGCTAAGTGAAACGGAGGGTTCGGTGGAGTTTTATTGTACGACCGTGACACGTCGAGAGTCGTCCGACCCTTTTTCCCAAATCGGTCAGCGCAGCATCGTTGCGTTGGGAGAACTGGAACAGCGTGCAAAGAATTCATTTAATTCGTCGGGGTTGGGTTCGGTCCGATAGTTCGTAACGATCGATTAAACACGACGTGAAATGTAACCGGCGGACATTGAAATCAACATTGCAGCAGCCAGGCAGCAGCAGCAGCAGCAGCTATTCTCGTGCCTACAGTATATCTGGCTAACTACGCCGATAAAAGCGATAACGACGATCGCATCAATTGAATTCAATGTTATCCGTTATCGAAACCGCGGGCGTTTTATGATCAGCCCGGGAAGTAAGAGAAGCAGTACAGGGCATACATACTTCGCGATAGCTGACTACTTTTCAAACCTAATACTGATCGTTATCTCTCCTTTTCTTTCTTGTATTTGGTAGACCGTGAGTACTGGAAACATCACGTACACGAGGTGTGACAGAACAATAACTAAATGCAATTTTAGTAGTTTGAAAACAGTTACATTTTTATCTTGCTCAACGTTACTCGTCAGTTGTACGTAATCGTCTTTATAAAGAAGAGCTTTGGTGTGATCATGTCTTTCTCAGAACTAGTAAACACATTACTGAGCGAATCGTTCTCCAATTTTATAGATAATCACTACAAGCCGATAAAACAAGTACATTGTTAAAATTCCAGAATTGCTTTAAGTAAGATAAGTTAAGAGTTAAGTGCATCGTTTAAGCACTAAAAATTAAGATATTACGTGCTAAAGTATCTGCTACATACAGCATCGTTATTTTTTTGCCACACCAAATTCTTTCTGTTTTCTTTCTGTAAATTCTTTCCAGTGCTTTTTCAATTCTTTCCACCCTTGCGTTGAAAGAAAGTCAAACGAAAAGACATATTACACGATGATGACTTCGTACATAATGAATGAGCTGTGTTAGTATTGAATTTTTTTGGATAGCAGTATACTTGTGTTGTGTGTACATAGATACACAGTACTTCGTGCAACTCGTTTTTTAATTATGACCGAGTCGAGTAGACTTTAGAACCGAGAATTAGACCGGCGAGATGTTGAAGCGCGACGCGTCTAGATATTTTACCTTGCTCGACGAGCTTTCGAGTTTTTTCTTATTCCTCTCCCGGGCAAAGTATGGATTTAGAAAGATTACGGGCACACGAGCTAGGAGCGGTGGAGTGTCGTTTGTCGACGAGCGCGCCCGGAGCTCGTCGACGATGAAAATTTTAATTGTGCGAAGCTTGTTACGCCGAGGTGAAATATTAATCAACGTCGCGCAACCGAATAATGTACCGAAAGAGGTCGATGGTAGGGATGGTCTTATTAGAAGGAAGCTGCTACATGCATCTAGTTCAAATTAGAATATCGATTATTCTGATATTTTTATTATTTCAGGATCATCCGCGAATACAAAACTTTTATTTGCTGTTTTTAAGGCCGTTCTGGCTATACAATCTCCGCAAAAAGTTGTACGGATTATAAACAAAGTGTTTTCTCTGATTTTCTATATACCTACTTGCATTGGAAAGTCAATTGGTTTAATTTTAGGTCAAAGTTTAATTGGAATTTGGTGAAATGAATAATTAAGAGAATTTTTAATAATTACTAAAGTTGTTTAACTACTATTTTCATATTCATTTATTGTAACATCGTATATATAGTACATCGTTGTAACAATAATTTTTAATGTTAACACATGTTAATTTCAAATTGATATAATGTAAAAAGAAGCTTCTCAATATCTTCCAAATTTTGCATGTGAGTTGAATATGACAATAACTATTTCTTTGCAAAATTTCAAAGATGTGTCACTATTTTAACTTATGGTCAGAGCGATCTTAAACGATTCAGCTTTGGGGTTGAATATCTCGATTTTTAACACCCTACTGAGTACTCAATTTTCGAGCACATATGAAGAACACTTATAGTCACATTTACTGTAATTTCTAAAACAAACTTAAGAAAATTAATAAAAATTCTAAACATAAAACTTAACAGCTGCAGTTTTTATGCAATCAAAATTAAATGTGTTCATTATCTTTTATTGTCGATCTAAATTTGCTTTATTAAATTTTGTTTAATTTTCCATAAGAATTTGCACATGTCTTCCGATACATTTGCATATTTTTTAAAAAGATTACATTCTCTCGGTATATATAGATTCTTCAAAGAAAAGAATACTTCACACATGATAACAGTCTTATTTGGCTTTATCTCCAGCGTTGTCAGTCGAGTGCATGATTTGATACTGCGAATCAAGGTGAAATTTAACACACCCCAATAGCACTAAATATTGCAACAACGTATCGTCAACACTGTCACATTGCAATCATCGTGCAATGTTGCTGCATCACTCCAACAACAGTGCATTTATACGTTGCAATGCAGCATTATAGTAATGTTACAGTAACGTTTCTCACGATTTTTATGTAATTGTTATATCGATATTATTGGCAAAATGTAATATAATTAATGATAAAGAAGATCATAATCGTAATCACAATTATAGAGTAAAGATATTATATAAATACCATCTGTATTTTCAAAAATTCATTTGTGTCAATCCTGCAGCAACATTGTTTGAGATATCGCGATCTTGCAGTACAATATTTTTGCAACGTTGCTGCAATATTGAGTGATGTTGGGACAGTGATACAACAGTAAATGTAATAACAAGGTTTTTACAGATATTTGATCATACGGAGCATGGCCCGTACTTTTCCTTTTTCTTAGCTTACAACTTAAGGATGTATTGTCTATACAGTCAATCCCAAAAGTTTATGCAGTTTAGAAACGCATTTTTTAATAAGAAATCAGACGTCGGAAGAACTAGGTTCTATACAATTTTCCCGTAGATTCAACGGTTTAGGAGTAATTAAGGAAAAATGAAATTTTTTGCCAAAAGTTCGCCGTTTCGACGCTGGGATGGTCGAATTTTGTCAACATCAATAAAATGCCAAATAATCATACGTAACTCGTTAAATATCGAANCATTGTTTGAGATATCGCGATCTTGCAGTACAATATTTTTGCAACGTTGCTGCAATATTGAGTGATGTTGGGACAGTGATACAACAGTAAATGTAATAACAAGGTTTTTACAGATATTTGATCATACGGAGCATGGCCCGTACTTTTCCTTTTTCTTAGCTTACAACTTAAGGATGTATTGTCTATACAGTCAATCCCAAAAGTTTATGCAGTTTAGAAACGCATTTTTTAATAAGAAATCAGACGTCGGAAGAACTAGGTTCTATACAATTTTCCCGTAGATTCAACGGTTTAGGAGTAATTAAGGAAAAATGAAATTTTTTGCCAAAAGTTCGCCGTTTCGACGCTGGGATGGTCGGATTTTGTCAACATCAATAAAATGCCAAATAATCATACGTAACTCGTTAAATATCGAATTTAGAAGGAAAACAACTTTTATTTGAAGCATTTTTCGCAATTTTGAAAAAAAAAATTTCCGTCAGCGTCAATACTTAATTGGATATTTCCTTCTACACTTTTTAGCACGTAGCTATTTATTATTAGCATTATTCTTCCGACGTCTGATTTCTTTTTAATTATAGGAAATGCGTTTTTCTAAGGTATATAAACTTTTGGGATTGACTGTATAGCCAATACATCCTTAAGCTTTTCAGTTTTTCATTATTTTACATGGTGGTGTTTCGTTAGGCGAAGAAAGTTTTTGTTTCTGTAGAAATTTCACATTCAACGCAAATGTAAAAAGCGAAATGCTGTATGATTTAAGCAAACCAATGTAACAAAGGAAAATATATTAAGCACATTTTACTCTATAATAATATTTATATCAGATGTAAAAATAACTAAGTATGTTTCATGTAAATAATGAATAAAAATGGCATATATTTGTTTCCATGTTAGTTCCATCTATTTAATGTTTTTATATCCATATTTGTTAAATGTATATTAAATTACTTCTATGTTTTAAAAAACGAATCGATGTGCTTAATATTGGTACCAGTTTAATTTGATTTTCCTATATTATAATCATGCAATTTGGAATCGTTTGGCATGAACGACTTCCTGGTATTGTTATGATACGATTTATTTAAAATCTAATCAATGTTAGACAAGATTTCGTTTCCCAGCATGTATGAGAAGTTAAGTTTAGTTAAATTTGCAATGCTGTGTGTGAAAATAGCTTTGACAAAAGAGAATCTCCCCCTCAGACTAAAGTAGAAATCTTTCTTCTTGTAGATCGAACAAAAGTGACAAAGAAAGTCACGTTAACCATTGTGGATGTACGTAAACCATGCGTATATTAATTAATTATTATACAAAAATAAAAAGATACACGAGTAACGATGAGTTTAATTATCGAAACGAGTGGATCCTCGGACTAATTTTTAACATAGCGATGCCTTGTTGTTTTGCATGACTGAATATTTATGAGACATTCGTTCCATGCCCTAATGCCGATCGTTCAGAGTACCTACTACGAATTTCAAGACACTCTGTGCGATCAGCGAAACCTGCGTCACCTTGCATTCATCAAATTGCTCGATTTGTTATGTTTATGAATTTTTAGAATGATAGAACATCTACGGTAAACTTCAATCGACATTTATGCAATAAATGTTATATTAAATAATTTTAACGAATCATAAAGTAATGAAAATTTCACCAGACAGTCTACTGTAGTTGAAATGTTGTTTAAACTTTTGCTCGAGATAATAGTTATCAGCAGGCTGCGGATTTTTATGCAAAATAAAATATTTAAGAGATGCATTTTATACAGCAATCTTTTGATCATTTAAATATTTTGCTGTGTACTCAGCTTTTGATATTTCATTAAGCATTGCGGGAGCGTTCATATTCTATTTTTCTACATGCATCAAATCCGCAGTCTAGTCATTATTGAAATTGTTATATTAGCAGTTTCTGCATCCTTCTTTCAATGTTGTAAAACACGAGAAACAAATGACGTGTGAAAATGAGAGATTTCGTGTTTCTGTTACAGTTTTTCCTAACGTGCCGCCTGCACCAGGGATGCCTTGTCAAGGAGAAGACAGTGAGTACTCGTTGCCAATTAATCCAAATCTCTAACATATGCTATATTCCGCACTTTGCCAATTCTTCGATATTGTACATAAATACTAGCCAGCGAGTTGTTCGAAGAATAATTAAGTTTCAGTTTCTATTAAGTTAGACCTGGCTAAGGATATCAGATTCACGTTCGAGGAAGAGAAAAATAATTCTCATTCCCCATCGTCCCGACGCTTCTTCCCTTCGAATTTTATTAGTTTGTACCACATGACTCAGACTCACTTTAACAGTAGATCTATCGACTTTTTTGTGTATAATAAGCATTTCTCTATTACAAACCCGTCATTTTGATTCGTCTGGTAATTGTAGTGTTAATTCTGAAAAGCAATCAATAAAAGTAGTTACTTCATTTGGTACAATCTAATAGTTTATTGCATTCGAAATCAAAGTTTCGTTTTGAGTTCTCATGGGACATCGGCGATTTCAATGCGCTTATTTTTATTTCTATCATCATGAACGTGTGTATATTGACAAAAATAATGAATCCATTATTTTAATTAAATCAAGAGTCAGGTGTAATATTGACTCGAGAATACACTATTACATTTTATGCTGTTTTAACTCATCTTCATGCTACGAAGAGTATCTTGTTATGGAGAATCATATAAATGAAGATGACAAATAGAATCTTATCGAGAATCTTACGGAGAATCATATACAGAATCTTATAGAGGACAATAAGGAAAATCATACACCATAGAACGACGATTATTCGAACTAATTGGGATAAAACTAGTTCGGATAAGTGATTTTTAGAATAATCAGTTTCAAAAGATGAAATTTGGAAAATGTGCATGTTGTTAAATACATAGTTTCAACATGTGCGTATATACAGTCGAGGACAATATTCAGATAGCCTCTAAAACAGAATAGATGCCTTACGAAAGCGATTTGAATTTTCCTGAAATTTATTAGATTAAAAGAAATTTTTTTTAAAAGTGCAATTGGTAGGAGTTAAATAAAAAATAAAAAGATCGTTTCTAGGACTGCTTTTCTTCATGAATATTTATATAACATAAATATCGTTAATGAATATTTAGATCATACATTTTGTAAATCCATGTGAGTTCATTCATGCTGATTACAATACTTACATTAATTACAAACTTATAATACATTATATTTTAAACTAATTTCTCTTATATCTAAAAAGAATTAATTCATTGAACTTAACATTAAAAATGTTATTCAATTTTGAGACGTCTACGAATATTTATGGACTTAACAGTAGGTATAAGTAATTCGTTTTTCATCCGGATAATCGACGTTCTATTGTGTATGGAAATATAAGTAAAAACATTGGTATTCCGGAGTTGGTAAGTCGACGTACTAAAAAGGAGCATCGGGTCGTCAGATGATTTCACGGGTTTCATTTTCAAACACCGCGGCGTTGTTCTTCTTCTCATGTTTACTATTATTATTACGCACAGTCGTTTCGCCCTTGTCAAGATATGCGCGATAGTTTTCGACGATCGGGAAGCATGGAGGGCCTCGGGCCGATCGCGGTTTTACTGCAGATGCTCCAGTGCGGTATTCCAACGGGAATATACATACATATTCTAATTTTAACTTCAGAACACGCGCACACACTCGTTGTCGTAATTAACCGGAGAGCGATTTAGCGTTTATTAAAAGGCATGCGACAGAATTCACGCGTGCCACGAGCGCTCCGTTTGCCTGTCTTAAATACCGTGCAGAGTGGCCCACATAATTGTCACAAATCATACTTCTTCCTTTACTTCGCAGTTCGGCGTTACTGGTTAACATTAAACCTACCGATAGTTCTTATTCACTAATATAACAGAGTGCAATTTAGTGTTCATTTAAATAATAATTACAATTTTTACAAATATGACAAAACAAATTTCTCATGTAAGAATTCGAAAACAGTTAACCAGCACCCGATAGGTTTAGTGTTAAAGATCAAGTGTTCGTGTAAAATTAATGAGTCGTATTCTTCGGTCTATATTTTTCGTCTAAGGTTATTGCATCAAAAATACAGTTTGTGAAAATTACGTAGACCACCGTATGTACATTCACTTGACTAAGGAAGGAAAGACTGTGTGACAAAAAACCGGAACAGACTGAAGAACGCATTCCTCTGGTTCTTCCATGATATTTACGTTTTTTCATTTTCCAAAGGAAGCATCTACAGACGCGGCGCACGTAGATGGAGGAAGCTGTACCGAGTGAATGGTCATATATTTCAAGCGAAACGTTTCAATCGGGTAAGCATCATTTCATTCAATTTATTGACCCCCAACCCAGCTCCTGCCCGCCACCACTGTTCTGCCCTCCTTAGTTGAAACGTCCTATCTAACTAATTAAAACGTTTTTCGAGATAGTTTCAACCTTTGATTAAAGTTAGAGCACTCTCTAGTACTTTAGAGACAGTCCAATTTACTTGTCCTAACTGCTTTTCGGATAGTTTTGCTGTTCACAGCGAATGTCAATTAACAGACTTCTGGTTTCTACGAAACTGAGTAGGTTTGTATCATTTTATCAGTATTCTAATATCGTTCCAAAAATTTCGAAACTTATCTTGTTCGAGAGTGAAGTAAACTTAAGGTTGTATCAGCCCTTAATAAAAATGATAACAAAACACTCAAGTTTTAACAGTTAATAGATATTACGTTAATAAAACATCGTGGAAAATTTTAGATATTTTAAGAATCTATTAAAATCATTCTATCAATAATAGCATTGACAATCAGATTTTGATAGAATTTCCTATACTGCTAGGTGGAACTTAAAAAAGAAGACAGAATTTAGTAATTTCGTACAATTGTTAATACATGTTTTAAGAATATTTTAAACTTGGAATAATATCAACTTCGAGGATGTCATTTAAGATAGACAATAAGAAGTAAGTTAAAGTAAATCGTAGAACTTGTAAACAGTTATAAGTTAGGTACCTATCAAAAAGTGCCAAAACTATGTACATCTTAGAATATTAGAGATTATATGATAAAAATTGCCTGACTTAAAAAAAAACAAGTCGAACAATTTTATAAACATCACTTCTCCTTAAATATCATTCTTCCTAAAAGTTCAAATTTTCATTTTCATTCACACAGAGACCTTATGGTTTATACAACCTTAAATAATTATCACCGAAGAAAGTTACGAAGTTAAAGTTTGTCTCAACGATCAGACAACTGTCGACGAAATTGATGCTGAAAGGAGGGCAGCGTTACTTTCCTCGTTTTCTTTCTTCTTCACTCATTATTTTGTATTATTTCTCGACACATTTGCGGCAATCATGCACGTCGACACCCTCGTTACCGTTTTTCTTTCACTACACGTCACCGTTCCCAGAAGCAAACATCTTACCATGGCGGATAGATTTGTAATTCCTGATCAGAGGAACTTGCTGGCTAGTGAACTCGTCGACCGTTTATTTTCTCTATTTCATGCGTCGAATCGATCCGACGACGATACATTTTTTTCATTGAATGCTTCAAAATGAGAATGATGTAGGTGGTCTGGTCATTTCCAGTGGCGAATAGTCAATCCATATATTTTAGCGTGAACCGTAAGGACACGAAGTGTACCGTAGAATTTGATTATTTTTTTCTATACAAATAGCGAGCTTCGTTAAGAGGATATTTGTTCAAAGTAGATACACAAAACTTTTCCCAATGTTTGGTCAAACATCCTCTTGCACGATTATGTTCTATAGTAGTCAATTTTTAGAATCAGTAATGTATGCGTAGACACACTTAGAATCCTTTCAGGTAATATAATATTTAAGAAACTTCACATGAATGATTTTGATCTGATAGAAACTGGTAACGTTTATGTTTTTTAATTTAATGATTTACATTTGTATATTTAATCTTTTCAAATTAGCTTGCACCCTTCTCAAGATCTCGATGAACGAGGAGGCCGGCAATTTTACAAGTAACATTTTTCTCTGAATTTCTGTAGCGAGCGTTTTGCGCGTTCTGCCAGGATCGGATTTGGGGGCTAGGTCGGCAAGGATTCAAATGCATCCAATGCAAGCTGCTCGTGCACAAGAAGTGTCACAAGGTGGTGCGAAAGCCATGCCTGAGCGTGCAACAGCAGCAGCAGCAGCAACAGATACAAAGCACAGAGTCGCAGGCAATCGACAGAAACGGCGATCAACAACAGCTTGATTCCGTTCAATGCAGCCCGGTAACTCATCTAGAAGATGAGATCTCGGAGTCGCCAATCATCGAGGAACATTCACGCAATCGTAAGAGCCATTGAAAGTTTCATTTATCGTTTCAAAGATTATGAAATAAGTCTTAAAGAAACAGTGTTTGCATTTCATCACAGAATTGTTTAACCTTTAAAACGCCGGAAAACCGAAATATCGGCTCATGAATTAATGAGTACTTTATATGTATAACATATTTCGTTGATATAATCACATTATATTTGTGTGACGTTTTAAAATCGTTTTCACGTAATTAATGTCGGCGGTCTAAAGATTAAAGAGACTGTTCGTAAAGAGCAGTTATTGTTAACTGCGATTTTCGAATGCAGGTTTAATATCAAGAAGGTCAAGAGAGTTCGTGGATAGTTTAATTACCTTTTTGGAGACACGCAAGAAAGTATATAAAAATTTGTTGATCAGAAGTTAGCAAACCCTTTATTCAACATTTAAAATCATAATTCAGGAATAAAGAGAAATTTACTATTAAAACAAGTATTACTGTTAGTAGTAGAAACATTGGAACGATCGAAAAATGTTTGTGTACATGAATATTTATTTAAATAGAAAATAAAATGAAACGACGATTGAACATTCTTGCAGCAACTGGAAATGAAGAAAGGGAGGAATTGCCGTTGGATATGTTGAACGATGCGGATAACTCGAATGATATGCAGAGGCAATACTCGTTAAATGATTTCGAACTGATTAGGGTAATCGGTCGTGGTTCCTACGCGAAAGTTTTGATGGTAGAATTGAAGCGGACGAAGAGGATTTACGCGATGAAAGTGATTAAGAAGGCCTTAGTGACGGACGACGAGGACATCGATTGGGTTCAAACGGAGAAGCACGTTTTCGAGACCGCCTCGAATCATCCCTTCCTCGTGGGACTTCATTCCTGCTTTCAGACGCCCTCTCGGCTCTTCTTCGTGATCGAATTCGTACGCGGTGGCGATCTAATGTTCCATATGCAGAGGCAACGTCGTCTTCCGGAGGAGCATGCCCGATTCTACGCGGCTGAGATCAGTCTCGCCTTAAACTTTTTACACGAGAAAGGTGAAAAGCTACGTTCTTCTAATAAATATCAATATTCATTTTTAGTTTTCTGTACTTCTTAGAAGATGGAATAATTTATTACAAATATTAAATACATTATAATCTCTGGTATTAAATAGCAATGATAATAATTGAAAAGTAATAGTAATAAATTTCAGACGTTTAATTGTTTCTCCATGCGACTTTAGGCATCTCATCTGTCTATAGGTATAATATATAGAGATTTGAAACTGGATAACGTGTTGCTCGATCACGAAGGACACGTGAAGCTGACTGATTATGGAATGTGCAAGGAAGGGGTGCGAGAAGGAGATACTACCGCGACGTTCTGTGGCACTCCGAATTACATAGCGCCCGAGATATTACGCGGTGAAGATTACAGTTTTTCTGTAGACTGGTGGGCGCTCGGCGTACTCTTGTACGAGATGCTTGCTGGTCGTAGCCCGTTCGATATAGCAGGCGCATCAGAAAATCCGGACCAAAACACCGAGGATTATCTGTTCCAAGTGATTTTACAGAAAACGATTCGTATACCGAGGTCGTTGTCGGTTAAGGCAGCTTCCGTGCTTAAGGGTTTCCTCTGCAAAGATCCGAACGAAAGATTAGGCTGCGGCAAGAGGCCGACCGGTTTCCTCGATATCGTCGCCCATCCGTTCTTCAAGGCGATAGATTGGGAAATGGTAATTCTCGTTACGTAAAAGTATTAAATTATACGCGTGGATACAAATATAGGGAGGCCATAAAAATGGCGACCGTCTTTCCTCAGTAGTTCGCTTCGATATTTGCAATGTATCTTGATTGATTTCAATTTAATAAGAGAACCCCGTACACTGGGTGTCCCACGAAACACTGAACAGTCCTTTATTTCCTAAGTTATAGGAGTTAGATAAAAGTTTTTATACGGAACTTGAACGATTCAAAACGGGACACATGTTTTGATGGAAAGTTTTCTATCTATCTCCCATAACGTAAGAAATAAAGGACTGTTCAGCGTTTTCTGGGACTGCCTGTACGTATTACCAGACAAGTATGCATGAGATATTGATTATGCAGTATATATATTACATATCTCGTATATTAATTTTTCAGTTGGAACAAAAACAAGTGACACCGCCTTATAAACCGAGATTAGATTCTGATCGTGACTTGGCAAACTTCCCACCAGAATTTACAGATGAACCAGTTCATCTGACACCGGATGATCCGTAAGTTTCCTAACGAAAAAGGATTTCTCGATAGAAATCGATGAATATAATATAAACTCTCGATTTTATCGGTTTCCAGGAGGGTGATTGACAAGATCGATCAGAGCGAATTCGAGGGCTTCGAGTACGTGAATCCGTTGTTGATGTCCCTGGAAGACTGCGTGTGACAAGAACCGCTCGTTGTTGTGCCTCGTCACAATCAAAACAACCAGCGACAGCTCCAACCGTGTTACATGTACGAACTGCAGGATAAGCTGGCCAAGCTCCGGATCGACCCCCTATTGAACATCGGCCCGAAGAATCGAGGTTATCATAACAACGTTTTCTTAATGACATACTCGGAGGAGAATGAGAACGACAATAATTATAATGAGTATCGGTTATCGCCACCTTTCCCGTTCCGATACGAAAGCCCGATATGCTCCAGTTCTCTAAGTATCACAGACGTCACGTACGGCTCTAGCAATAACAATGAGATCATTAGCAACTACGACGAACAGAATTACGACGACGAGGAAGACGAAAGCCCGAAGAAGGGGTTGCTAAAGCAAATGTTTTGCCTTCCATTAAATTAAGCTAAATAAGGGCTTGTTTAATATTACGGAAATACGATTGCCTCTAATCCGATAGTTAAATATAAATTTTGTAGATCGAGCAACAGATTTGAGAGAGAGAGACCTTGTATAACGAAACAAGTATCAACTTTTGACGAGAATTCCTTGCATCAAGTATCTGGAGAGGAGGAAACGAATGTATTTCATTTTATGCGCCACACGTCACGATACGATCGTGTTGAACTCTTCTTTCACATGGTGCTGCAATTCTAACGTATTTAATGGGTATTATTTTCAGCTATTTTCTAGAGACGAAATGAATTAAAAGTAACAAAAAAATAAAAACAGAAAATGTACCTGAGTGCTTCGATTAATCGCGTAGATGCTATGCCATTCAGTTGTGCAGTCGTTCCATTTAATAATTACGAGCATTGTACGATCTACTATACCGCTTGCATGAACCTAATTCGTTAAAAGAAAAGAATAGCAACAGAATATTTCTAACGAACTAATATCTATTTAAGCAAGAATACTGTATATGATAGATTAATAATTATGTTTGAGAAAGGAAATATAGCGAACATAACTATAACATTTCTAAAGAAACTAACTCTGTTTTTCTATGTTTTTCTTTTTTTATATACACATACGTATAAGAACTGTTTAAAGCTATGATATATTAGAGAAACACTTTTATGAGGAAACTGTTGAATGTATATTAAAGAGAGGAAAAATAGGAAAGAAGTCTTAATCACATCACAGTATAGTATTATACAGTTTTCAAAACGTTTATGTTTGTGCTTCAAGAACGTACGAATTATACAGTAAATGATTTTGATCATGATCATTTGATATGCCTGTCGAATGATATAATCTGATTTTTGGTAAGAATAAAATTGCACAAAATGGCACATACATTTCTATATTTTAAATGGCATCGTTTCATTAATGATTCTATTTAACAGTGTATTGCCATGACTTCCAAACTTTTAATACCAATCTTAGGCATTTAATCATTTTTATAGAAACATAAATTAAATGTCTTCCACTTACGCGTCTTTTTGTATCTCAGAAAACTTGTGTCGCCCCGTGCTTAATTAGATTAATAAATTTTTATACGTGCTATTCTTTTTACCAAGAATAGACTTCAATTATTCTTCGATCAATGAGAGCTGAGAATGCCGTGATTTTGTGCAATTTTATCTTATTTTTGCCGTTTCATTAAAGTCATTTACTGCTGACAATTGTTCGTTCCTGTGATTACTATAAATATAAAAAGAAAACGTTAAAAGTAAAAAGAACAGAGAATTAGATTTACCTGAAAGGTAGTTAGCGTAAGGATACACACGAAAATGAAATTGCCAAAGCGCGTTATACGAAAGAAGTTTTATACGAAATTAATCAATTTTCCTTGAGCGTTGTCACATGCCTAATATGTATACTGAGTTATGCAGAGTGAGACATTTTTTCTTTTACGAAAACAACCGTTTCTTTTAAAGATTTCATATTAATGCACTGATTTATTTAAATCAATCGAATTAAACACAATTCTACGTTCATCAGCGAGTAATCGTTCTCATTTCTGAGACTATTGCGTTTCATTTCTTCCTCTGTTATGAACAATCGTATAAAACATGGCTAGAACAAAAAAAATGTTACGTATTATCGAGAAACAGAGATAATATATATTTTCTTAAAAAAGATGCAATAACTAGGAGAACGGGCCTGTACGCAGTCTTCGATACTGTATTACACTTTTTTTGTATTACTACGATCACGATTAGGTGCACTGATCTTAAGTTTTTTTTTTTGTTAATAAAACACGAATTATATTTTGTACGACATTCCTCTGTATTTCTATGTACACCAAATTACTCGTTATTTTTACTTAACTATAATGTTTACGTATAATTTCACGAATTAATTAATAAAACATTCCAAAATAATTTCGTCCCTTAATAAATAAGAAATCATTGACTTTTTTTCTTTTGTGTTTATTATATTCATAAACAATTTCCTATTGTTAACAAATACTTTTACGTTATCGCGTAACGTGAAGTATTATTTTAATACATATAGTTATCTATTCATATAGAAGCCATACATATCAATAGTAAATTTTAAGATAAACATTCCCGAACAAATTATATGTCCTCGAGCATAAAGTGTTGATTATTTTTGGAACAAAATGTGGTTTCGACCATTATGTTTCGGTTTTATTTTAAGTGCCTCGCCCTGTATACTAAATGTATATATATTTATGCATGTACATAATTTAAAGGTAACCATTGTACTTTCATTTACCACACCTAACAGACTGTATAATTTCAACATTCCACATTTGTAACTAAACCTTCTAATTATTTCACATTAGTATTCTTACTACTGTACATTGAATGTTTGAAATGAAAATCATTGTGTTTCGTTGTAGCGTTCATATTAAGAGAAGCAAAATATACATATAATCATTGAAATTATTTTTTAATCGCTGGTCAATACCAACTAAAATGATTTTTCGTGTGTCAAAAAATATGTTCCACACGACAGTTCCACAAATAAGAATTCTATTGAATGAAAGCAGGCGATATGGGTTGCTGCTGTAATTGAAGACTACGATGATAAAAGTAAATATAGGACGATATTGGATTCTATATCATTTGAATATTCTATTGTTAGCGCTCAAAGTGAAAAGAGGATGCTTGTTATCATTTATATGTATACACATATAACATATATATATTATATTATACGAGAAGGAATTTTACAATTTATGCCTTGTTGTTCTTGAAACTCAGTTTTCCATAGTGAACGATACGATAAGTCGCAATAGCGAACGAAAATTGTACACTAAATGTAATTATACTAATTTTAAGCGGCATTGTTCGAAAGGTATATATTCGTTAGTCGATATATAATGAAGAATATTAATTGCATATACGATAACATATGATAATCACCGAGACAAAGTTTTTTGCGCAACGCATTTAGTTTTTAATGACGAAACGATCGAGACCGGAAACGTGTAGAGCGCTTATTTACATTATTATAACGAAGAATAATACATAGGATCAGACAGGAGTTTTAATCGGCGAATTCGTTTCTTCGATTTGTTTGTATAAATCATTGATTGACGAGAAGTAATTCAACTGTTTCTATCATTTTTTATAATGACGATATATTCTAACAATGTTTCATAGTATAGTAATAATTATATAATTGACATAATTACGTTTTTTAAATTGTATCGATTATTGTTATATTGTATGTATATGTGAGATGTTGATAGAATTTTTATAAATTCTAAATTGTGTTTCTGTGTTCTATGACTATTATCAATTGTCTGATATATATATATATATACATAATGTATAAATAAATTTTAATATTAGCATTTTAAAACCTGCGTTGTTAAATCGTACTCCGTGATCTTGATAGCTCTAAATAAAGTAGGTTTACAGTCTGAGTGCCTCTTTAAATATTATTTCTCATTCATATTAAATCTACCGTACAGTCATTTATTCTGTCAAAGGATACGATAGCGGTCCGAAGACTTTATAAACAATTTTCAAATAATTAACTTATAAAGAGAACTTGACAATTTTTACTGACTTCACTAGTTGCTAAAGTTTATTTTAACAAGAATATAATATTAATTAAGTCAGTTAAGTTTAAATATTAATGATATATCTTTAATTCAGTAGCGCATACCTTTTATTTTGCTTCAAATTATTTTTAGACCTACGTTGCATAGATATAATTGTGGAATAAAGAAGCTGACAATGACATAACAATGAGATACTGTAACGTAGCTCTTAGTCATAGAGTGCTAACAATTTTAATATCGGTCCAAATACGGTCGACACTGCGGACTTTCCCCAAATGAAGTCATAATGGCTGAAAGATTTAAGAGATATTCTTTCATGGAATAATACGTTACCGAGTTTTGTTTTCAACAGATCAACATCCTAAAAAAAGATCATTGAGCAATTTCATAAAAATGGTTGAACGGATACCTACGTTAAGACAATGAATTTGATCACCTTAATATCTGCAAGTACGTCATGCTCACTGCTGAAGAGTGCAACTGGCGCTGTTACTTTGTTCAACTCGTATTCAGGCGGCTCTGACGAGTTGTAGACTTGATAATTCTTTTCAACGCTACCATAATCGAACTGTCTAAAGTGATCTAAAATTAACAAAAGGTTTATTATTTGTATTCTGTTATTCACAACGAGATTAGATACTTTCCTGGATGCACGTATCCTTGCCCGAAGTGAACCACTTGCTTCCAGGAAGCACCAGCGGGAACGTAAGTCATAATCGCTGTCAAGTTCATCTGTAAATTATAGATTTATAAAGCATTAAGTAAATGCAATGGGAAATTGATATAAACTTCCAATTTTTGAGCTTAAAAACTGTTTAATTCATTTTTATGTATTAAATATTTCTTACAGACTTTGTTTTAAGGTCAATAGTGCCCCATTACTAATTTGGTAGGAACTGAATGAATAATTGATCGTTTACCGCGCTCAGCTCCGCTTGGTTGAAGCCGCTAACCAGAAATAAAATGTTGTTGCAAAAGAATTGCGTGGTATCTTGGCAAAGTATGTTCACCACGAACTTTCCCCAAGTAGAACGTGCACGAAATTCTGGATAACCGAATAATTCGCCGATCCACTGTAACGTAAACAAATTCGGTATCTTGTTTTATTTTTGTTTACTGCATTTCGGTACAACGAATTTAATTTAAAGTTTTTATTGTTAATTTATGTGCTTCTCAATTTTCTTTCTTATATGTCTTTGTTACTTTGTACAAGAGGAACGCGTTTCTACATTTAAATTAATTCATAGTATTCATAATTGAAAACGACTATTAGAAGAAAAGGATCCAGAAATATTTTAGGTCGTTCACGCAATTAATTGTAAGATAAAATTCTTGTGCAACTAACCACGCCTACGTATGTTAATTTAGCGAGTTTTGTAATTGGACCGTGTATATTGCCAGTAAACGCTGCAGGTGCAAGGCCGACCATTAACTGAATTTTTGCGTTATAGCTGGGCCTTTGCGACATCGTTACCCAAAATTGCGTGGTACCTTGCGAGTGACCTATATAATACAGTTTGTCACAGTTCGTACGATCAAGTATGTAATCGATCGTCGCCGGTAGATCGTAAACCCCGAGTTCGTGGAAGCTAAAATTGGTAAAAATGAATGAAACCATGGTCAATGTACCTATTATGAAACATCGCCTCAATTATGATCCCGTCTTGAGAGTACCATAAATCATTTAACGTATAACATGATGTATTCCATAAATATTCGTACACATTTCAAAACTGAATATCTTTTTTTAATATTCGACCTAACGAATTAATTTTTTCAAGTGTTAGCGAGATTAGTTTACTAAATGATTTGTAAAGAACAGAAAAATTTAAATTAATACAGATCATAAGAAAAAATGTGAAGGCCGCTGTTTCATATAAAAAACATGTTAGAATGTAGTACTTACCTAAAGTTCCAAAAATTTCGTTCGTTCGGCAACATCGATATGTGATTTCGCGAGTAAACGTTTCCTCTGTTATTTCCGAGCCATACATCGTATCCTGCATCTACTAGCATGTATGCTGTAAGATAGTTGGCATAATTTGTTAACACATTTAACAGTCTTCTGCTGTGGAGATCATGGGTTCCGACTCATGTCATCAGTTTTCTACTTATTGTTAGTGTGTAGAAAACCTGTAAAATACATCATTTATGCCTCAGTCGTGTAGATTACGCCTGATTACGTCATTAACGTCGAAAACCATGTTTTCGACCAGTTTTCGACGTTAATGACGTAATCAGATGTAATCTACACGACTCTACAGGTTTTCTACAAACTAAGTAGGAAACTGATGACATGAGTCGAGAACTCATCACTGGTGGAGATGATTATTATATAAAGTAATACGTCCATTTGTTTAAAATGGATTTGATTTTACTAGTAGAATTTTCAAACAAATATTAATTGGTACAAAAAGGATGAAGTAATAACGCGCAAGAAAGAATTGCGCAATTACTTCTTTTTACGATAAACACGCACCGGTTCATCATAAACATACTGACATAATAGCACAATTCCTGATTTAACAGAATGATCTGATTTAACACCAGCTTTCTAAATCTTTAAGTAAACTGTCTTTTCAAAAATTTGAATAAAACAGCTAACAGATTACAGCAATTATTCTTATTCAATTGAATTCCCTCAGCTGTTCATTTATGACACGCAATAACACACTACTAGACTGTGAATTTTTACGCAACATAAAATCTTTAGGGCTGTCAATTAAAAAATAAATTACAGATTGCAATATCTTTCTTCATTTAAGCATTGCAATATGCATTCACTTCTGATGTTTAGCATCGCATGCAATGCGTTTATCTTAAACACGCAGGTAAGCGTCCCAATTTCTGTTCGCATGAAAATTTCTATTCACTGCCCCATTTTTCTATAATTTCAAAGTAACATAATATTATAAAAAATGATTTAAAACGATATAGAATCGTAGAAAATAATTTAGAATAACATAAAACTATTGAAAAATAAAATAGTGAAATTTTGAAGTTAACAGAAATTGGGGCATATACTATATTTCATAAATGTATAAAATTTACGCATTGAGAAAAATATGACACTTTTATTATTAGTCGCAATAACTAATTCGCAGCTATGGAATACTTATTTGTAAGTAAATACGTAAAGCACCTAAAGTCCTGCCTGGTCCCAAAAGAATCCAGTCCGCGGAGCTACCGGACAAACCATGTTGAATTAATACTGGCCGTTTCGCGGTTGCGAAATTACTTTCACAATCGATCCGTCTACGCGGGAGTCGGTGTATTTCCAAAATGTATCCATCCTCTGTGATCACCTTATGAATTTCAGCTTCGTACCCGTGTTTCATCACCAACTCAGGCTGTAACGACAAAATTTGCTTATTTATAGTTTCTATCAATTCAATTTAATGCGAAACTAGTTAATTAAATAACTATGTAAAGAAGGGATATCAAATTAATTAATTAATCTTATGTTTAAGACTGAAATCAAAGCGTATGGTAGATTTGAATATATCGAGTATTTCACAATATGTGGTCACAACAGACGAGATTGATTATAAACAATCGAAGAGAGCAATCAGCAGAGTCTTTAGAATTATTATGTTTGTATGAACCTTTCTTTTTTATTTTAATGTACTAATTCCACTTTTGAAATTATGCCCACATTTTCTGAAAAAGCCTGTATAATCTGATCACCTGTATTGCAAATATAAATTATGAGTTACAAATTGTAAGTAAGGAGAAAAAGAATAATATAACTCACGGTTCTGGATACGATATTGGAGTTGCTGGATCTGTGGATTGACAGTGCGACGACGAGGGTGTGTGAAATAAAAAATTGTAATAACAGTAAGAAGAGGCCGTGAGACACCGACATGTTGTTGCGCGCGAAACACATTACCAAAATTAAAAGCGTGGGTATTTTATGTATATATATATAGAAGTCGGCTGATTCAGAATGTTTGATAAGAAACGATCATAATGGATGTGTTTCGTTTTATCCGGCGTTGTTCCACGACCTTTAACGCGGCGCGATATACCATAGCCGTGGAAATGGAAAGTGCATATGCGATACGAGGTAGATGAATTGTTTGTTCCTTTCAAAGGTAGTGTGTGCGCGGCGAACATTTTCCTTTTTCCCTACTTAATTTGCGCGGCTACGATTAAACCGTTCGACGTGATAGAAATTCTGATTATGTTCGATAGTTTAAATGTGCAGGTTGAATCAAAATTTTATGGGTAAACTGCATATTTGTGAACTTGCTGAATTGAACTGAACATGAACTTAGATACGAATTTGTTTTACTTCATGTGTCTTTGGATATTCTACATACGTATAAATTCATAAAAATTTGCGATCTATATGTATATATAAGCAATTGAAGATTGAACTTCATTGTATGTTAATTCTGTACTTTTATGCAAATAGTATTACATTTGCGATGAGCGAATGAAGATTATAAGTCGACCTTGTAATATATATGGGAAAACCACAATGCACACTGATGAGTTTGCTGTATATATCTAAAACAGGGTCGGTTACAACATTTCTCATGTAGCCTACTACCTTATCTATAATGAACAATTAAATGAGGGATAAAGGTGTCTATAATAAACCTACTAATAAGCAACTAAACTGTTTTACATAGCGCGAAAAAAATATATATTACCAGTATTACAATATTAAATATATATATATATATACTATAAGATTCTTTTTCTATATTTTTCTACTATCGCTTTTTTGGACTGCTAGCGCAGTCTATTCTTATATGTCTATGATTAAAAACCGTCCATAGTGTTTTCACAGCCAGTAAATGAGCAGAAAACGACACTCAAAACTTGATACATTCTAAACAGATTTTAAGCTTGTAATCACATTCGATTTCTCATTTATTTTCCATTTTTCAAGTGGTCCAATTGATTTTGCGATAACTTACAACAAATGCATATTATAATAATTCATCAGAATGTGAATATGATCAATTATCATTATATGAATAGTGATCAAGGGTGAGTGTCAGTGATTTAAACAATCATAACTCGTATTGATTATTCCATTTCAAGGTGTAAAATTCAACGTGTAAAATCAAAAAGTAGTAATAGTTTTTTATTTTGCCATTAAAGCTACTTAGCCTGATTTATTATAATCATAATACATTTAAATTTTGCATTCATAATTACATGCATAAAGCTTATTAAGCGATTGATATCCGTAGAGATAATTCATGCTGATATCACAATATGACGTATTCCTATTCGAAATGTTGCCTCTCCGCCATCGATGTAGTATGCGAAACAAACTGAAACAACTCGAACTTTCATTTACCGATTTACCCTAGAGAGGCACACCCTCTTACCGCGGTTCGCGGCCCGCGAACCGCGACGCGAGACGACCAGAGACCATAAACATGTAAGAATAGACCGCGATAGCAACCCGAAGAAGCTATAGAAGAAAAAAAGAGAAAGACAATCTTACAGGCCCCCCTCTGTGTCTTTGTCTAATCGTGTTTGCCCCACCTACGTACCTTCCTGTGTAATTCCATGTAGTATAGTGGAGCGTCATTCAATGGCATTATTATACTATACATAGAAAGGTAGGTGGAGCAAACGCGATGAGACAAGGACACAGAGAAGCCCATAAGATTGTCTTTCTCTTTTTTTCTTCTATTGCTTCCACTTACACATTCGGCGACCACCAGCGCGGTCTATTCTTATATGTCTATGCCAGAGACGACGTTTCATTACTCTATGCTCGTGAAACGTTTCGCGAAAATCCTTCTAAAATGTTTGTTACTCATCGGTCGTATGTATGAATTTCATATAGTGTTCGCAGGTTACAATAAATCAGACAATTTTTCAATTAAACTTGAATTAAGATTGGAATTGTAGTGTAGTGCGCAAGGACCACTAATCGTCGGACACGGAATCGAGAACTATTTAATGGATCCGACTATCGGTTGGTATCAACCGGAGCAGTTCGGCCCTGCTAAGGACTTGTGGTTACACATTTGGGAAGCTGAGAAAGGTCTGGATATCTTAACGCTGAAGAACGACTCGTCCTCGAATGTGATGGGTGTGAAGCTTCAGCAGGACTTCATATCCTTGGATCAGATGAATTCTCGTACCAGTGGTGATCGCATACAGCATAATACTTGCAACAGCTATTATAATCCGTCGCGTAGGAAAGGTGATAATCGTGCTAGCACCTACGGCATGAACTACAATTACGATGCCTTAGTCGGTGAATACGGCGGCTGCCCGTGGCGAGCACCGAATAAACATTATTCGAAGGGAGTCATCGGGTAAGCTTATATACATCGAACATTGCTTACTATTTTGTTTTTAAAAAATCAGTCCGTTGCCTCCCACGGTTACTGAGGTTATGTAGCCTGCATGCTCGTTTACAAATAGGGTATAGCAAGGTCCCTTTAGGTATAATTAGACAGGCTAAGCGAGAATTTACTTTCATGCGAGCGTCGTTCTCGTTACAGTTTAATACAATTATTTGAATTGTTTCAATCTTTTTAATTACCTTTCGAAATCTCACAAGCACATTTCTCCTCATTGTTAATATAATCTTGTAAGCACGCGTAGATTACATGTATGTATGTATGTACGTTACGACTATTTATATTTATGCTTACAACAATTCGTATTATATATTTGAAAGTGTTACCGTTACGATCTAACTGCAATACTTACTTTTTTCTACTTAATTCCCAATTTTTCAGTTGAGTGCTTTTATCTTAGAATTAATGTATTACGTTGTGTATCTTATATTCATTTATTTCGATCATAAACCTGTCCTTCGTTAAGTTAAGGAATTCCTATGGATTTTTATGTATATTTCATAAAAATATATAAATGCAAATGAGTTTAATACATAAAACTTACATTTATACCTGCTTTATAAGAAAACAATCTTAACATGTAACGATAATAGTTAATTATATTAAATTAATGTCAAACATTTGTATAAAAGAACAATAATTATATGTATAGACGTACAATATAAGATAACTCGTAGAAACATGAAATATTGATTAATGAATTTTATTTTTATATCTAGATTACATGAAGAGATTGAAGATTTTTTTGCTTACATGTGCCCTTCTAACGAAGAGCACCATTTGAGAATGCACGTTGTCAAAAGGATAGAACAAGTAATATATGATCTCTGGCCAAATTCTAAGGTTGAAATATTTGGCAGCTTCCGTACTGGTTTATATTTACCTACAAGGTACGTGTTATTATACATATTTAAAATGAAATGTACTTAGCGACGTACTTATACAGTAAAGAGTGAAACTGAACCAATACCCTCTTAAAACTGAAAAACTTTTTTATAAGCAAATAAACTAAGTTCTTTTGAGTAGTTAGATACGTTAGTTCAATAACTGAAAAATAAAGAAAATGTTGAAAAAATTGCAATTAGTGGAAATCGTGAGGGAAAAAAGTAAAGGTTGCTTCTTTTAAAGTTAAGAAAGCTACCTTCAGATTCTTCCTCACGATTTATACCAATTTCAACTTTTGCAAAATTTTCTTTAAACATCATTTAGCAAATTAATCCACCTAATTGTTAAAGAAACTCGGGTCACTTGTTCCGATTTTAAAACCTTCAATTTCAGAAGGTGTTGGGACATTTTTGCTCCTGACTGTATATATAAAATCCTGACACCCTTCAAATCGGTCTTACTCTTGCAAAACACATATACTCGTGCAAAATACATAACGATGCAACGTTAATTCATTTGTTAGTTGTGATTAGAAATAAATTTTCGAAATGCATAGAATATATTTTCCCTTTCAGTGATATAGATTTAGTAGTAATAGGAATGTGGACAAATCTTCCGTTGCGTACTTTGGAGCGTGCTTTGTTGGATCAAAATATTGCCGAGCCATCCTCGATTAAAGTTCTGGATAAAGCTAGCGTTCCGATCGTTAAGTTGACTGATAAAGAGACCGAGATTAAAGTAGACATCAGTTTTAATATGAACAATGGTGTTAAGTCCGCTGAGTTGATTAATTCATTTAAGAAGCGATTTCCAGTATTGGAAAAACTAGTTATGGTGTTAAAGCAATTCTTGTTACAAAGAGACCTGAACGAAGTGTTTACCGGTGGGATCTCTTCATATAGTTTAATACTTATGACTATCAGTTTTTTACAGGTAAACTATCTATGCATTGTTCATTCGAATGACATTTAAACAATGATCACTGGATCAGGTTTCTGAATAAATCAACGGAAAACGATGCGATGATAGAAAATGCAATTTTTTATACAACTTACGTTCTTTTACTTTTTTAGTTACATCCCAGGCAAAATGCTTATACCTCTGACGCTAATCTCGGAGTGCTATTAATAGAGTTTTTGGAATTATATGGTAGGAAATTTAATTATGTTAAGACAGGGATTCGTGTAAAAGATGGCGGTACTTATATATCGAAAGAAGAGGTAAGGTACAATTGCATGAACTACTTAATTAAAAAGTATACACTTAATACAAGTGTGCGTGGCGAGATAAATGTGTGTGTGCCTCTGAAAAAGATCGTTATAAAGAGTTACATCTATTTACTTATCGATTCTTTTGTATAAATTCAATTAGGTTCAAAGAGATATGATAGATGGCCATCGACCTTCCTTATTATGCATAGAAGATCCACTTACGCCGGGGAATGATATCGGTCGTAGTAGTTACGGTGCTTTGTACGTAAAAGATGCATTTGATTGGGCTTATTACGTCCTTTCGCAAGCAGTTAGTCCTTTAAATATTTTAGTTAATGACGCGAGTAAAACAAGGTAAGATCACCGCAAAATTAATCGAGATTAGCCGTGAAATCATATTTATTTTACAGTATACTAGGAAGAATAATTCGCGTAACGGATGAAGTAATAGAATACCGCAAGTGGATCAAAGAAACATTCCCAGTACCTTTGAACGAGGTAGATTCGTTGTCAAGTTCTACTGGATCCGATGCTTCAACGTTGTCCGCTCCAGCCAGTGACACGGTGCGTAATTATAATTCATCAATTTATAAGAAACGCAATTATGATCTTGTATTTGTTTTTAACATACAAATTCAATATTTCTAGGATTCCGAATGCAGTCGTGGAAATTCTCCTAACACTAGTGGGAAAGGGGAAGACAGGAATAAAGAAAGGAACATATATAATAACCAACACACTCACCATCATTCGCAATGGAAAAAACCATTTAAAGGAACTGGCCATGGTATGCGATTAAAACTTTTATGCATTCATTTCATAATTTATAAAGATTCTGTTAGCCACTGTTATAAAACCGACATAATACGGTTCATCCATCATATTAGTTTTGAAGAACCACCCACATATTGGGTCTGAAAAACGGGAACCGATGTACGTAATGACAGTTTTGACATTTTTTCATATGACTTATTTGTTACAGGTAATCATCATCATAGTTCCAGAGGAAATTATCATCATCGGGGGATAAACAATAACATAGGCGGACAGAGTAAAGCAAAACACTCCCTTCATCCTAATGGGAACAACAATAATAGCCACAGTCCGAGTTCAAGGTCGCAGACCGTGAAACGAAAAAAACAGTGCATCACACCTCGCGGCACCGGGGATTGTGTACGGTGATGAAACGTGCAAAATAACGTTGGACCTTGTTTCACGTTTAAGTAGAGAGCTCAATATCATAACCGCGTGTGGGTGAAAAGACATTGACGAAGGCTTTCATCGCGCAACTAAATTATCCTTCCTACATGTAGCGTCGGAGCTCGATTGTCTGTAATCAGATGGAGTTGCCAAACTGTTTCTCCTTTTATTCCTACGTGGACAAAAGAGCGGCTTCTGGTATAGTTAAGTTCACTTCTCTGGATACATTTTCCTTCTCTTTTCTTTATCTGTACGAAAGCGTTTACGTACCAAAGGCGTACAGAACTGTAACATAGATTCATTTAGCTTTATTCTTTATTTTTTTCTTTTTACATTACTGCACATTTTACAGAAAGAGATGTGTAATATTTTATTAAGTATTTTGTTTATAAAGTTAACAAACTGACAGCAATCATTGAATAGCAATTGTGTTCATAATCATGGTAAACTCTCATTGTAATACATTTATATATATAATACGAATGATATACAGAATGATTATTTACAGTGCAGTTTTCTTAAAGAATTTCACGAAGATGTAAAACGCAAGCTCTAATAACGATAAAGACTTAGTTTTCTATATGGAACTATATTCTTATAACAAACAAACAAAAATGGGGTAACAGAAAAATTGGTGATATTGGGACTTACTTGTTGTAAATACTGTAATATATATACATACATATATATACATATATATATATATTATCGAACGATATAGAAGAATAAGGCTAAGAGTTACCTACTAAATTTCTTTTTATCTTGTACGTATCGAACATAGCGTTTACTATTATGATTTTATCATTTGAGGGAGTCATGGATTGGTCCATGTGATCACGCGAATAATTGTCTAATTAACTTTCTCTTTTCCCCCTTGTAATATGTAAGTCTCCAGTACTGTTGTGAAAATATTTTGGTATACCTTTCGGATTTTAATAAAGTTATATATAAGTTCGTGTGCTGATGATCAACCAATTTTGAATAAAAAAAGAACAAAAAATATTTTTCAAAATACTAACTCATTGACGGTAAAATAATACACTTTTAGACTTTTAAACATTGTGTTCTCCGAATTCGTAATTGTGCATAATGCTTTACTTTTTATACAGAACCGCTGATTTCGTAACACTAGTTTGTAATTTTTAGTCTCCCCCGAACGATATATATAACACATTATTTTTATATTATACAAAAAGTAATAGAATGAAAAAGAACAAAACCGTATCGCGTCATACTTATAGTCGAACATTTAAGATTATGAATTTCACTGTACAAATCAGTCAGAAAAATTGCATTTAAATAAGATTGTTCCGCATTGCTGTTTAGATTCTGAGCAACGTTTCAAAAAAGAGAAAAACGTTTTGTGTGACAATATTTAGAAGGCCTTTACATCCGCAATTGTATTTGTCAAATCTCATCCTGATTTATTGTTGAGAATTACATTCCGCTTCGAACGAGAAAAATTCTTTTACTTCGTCAGATTGTCAGAGATTAACCGCGTAAAACGAATCTTATTCGTCGAAATTGCATTTTATGTTAAAACATGAAGGGTTGTAACAAAATTCTCAACCAGTGAGTATCTCTTATTAAATTCGGCTACGAATAAACGCTGGTATTCAGTTCTCCTTGAAAACTTTCGAACTCTTATGCAGTATTCTTTATAATATTATTTAACGATGCATTGTTCATGGATAACGTTTACAAGCTGTGATTCAATTTTATAATAATTAGTATGTCAATTGCTTCTTATAACATACATACACGGATACATACGTGTATATATGATGTATAGCGTATGCAAGTAGACAGTAAAATGTGGATCTCTTCAATTTTATGTAATTAATATTTAAATATATTGTTAGCTACGACCGCTAATTAGTCCGCAGGAGTAATCACAACTTTTTTTAAGTCGGGGATTAAATATTCGTACAATTTTATTACTATTTGCGATATACATTTATCTATTTTTTCCAAAAGTTATTTAAAAAAAAGTGTAAAACATTGAAAATTTAATAAACAGTGATAACAGGTTCTTTCTGTGTCATTATAATCATATGTTAGCGGCGAGTCCTTTTTAAGGACAATTGGACGTGTTGAACACGTCTGAGGCGTGCGACCTGAGGAGCTACAGCGTAAGTAGAATCTAGAGAAATTGATAGACAACGATAGTCGGCTCTTTAGATGCGTGACGATTTTTATAAGTCACAATAAATTTCTGTTGCCGAAGAAAATCCGAGCAGCTGATTAGCAATAAAACATCAACATTTTACCGAAAAATGTTTGAAAAGTCACGTATCTAGAAGGCATGTATAAGTGATATATTTTCTAAGGTCATATGTATATTCTGTGCATATAGGATAAGTAGAAGAATTACAAAATACAGCTTTTTATTTAATAGTAATATTTAATTTATTAAACACTTTTCCTACAGGCTTTATACAGAACATTTTCATTGACCTGTTACTGTATAGCGGAGCATATTTCTGGCTATATTTGTAACCATAAGTAAATTAAATTCACTTTTTAGAAGTAAGTCCAGTTATAGGATTAGCTTCAAGTATTTGCATACGTTCCAATTGTGCAAGTCTATGTTCCTCGTCAAAGGTTATCGGTAATGGTGGATATGCTGCAAGATTTCATCAATTTATAACTGACATCTCCTCAGAATCAACTTATTTAACTTGTAAGTTATATGAAAGGAGCTACAAGTAGTTGTAGATTCTTGATAAAACTTACCAAACGTTTTAAGGAAATAGACTACCCAAATACTAAACGAAACACCTATTAGAGCTAATCCAAAAGTTGCCCTCGTGTCTCCTGTAGGTGCCTGGAATTCACTAAACGTTTGACGATAGCTCGCTCTGTACAGTGTTTTCTTTTCTTCAATTGACAACTTTTTCCAGTCACCCTTCTCTTTTTCTCTTAATGCCTAGTCAAACACGTATCAACTTGTATTGACTTTGTGATATACACAATGAAATTAAAATATTGATTACAAGATATTAATTACTTAGAAATGAAATTGTTACAAGAATTATAATTGATAGTCACTTTACCATTACGTCCGGTGTGTTTGGCTTGAAACGAATTGCAGGCATCGGGAAATCGGCTCTATCCAAGTAAGTTGGTTCTCCATTGTATCCGTGACCCACTATGTCCCTATTCCCAATTCTGTTCATGGTCTCGGGTAACGATGTCATCCCACGAACACCCATTGGGACACTTTGTCGCAAATATGAAATTAAAATCCTATTTGCCATTTTTGACTGAAACCATAAGTTTGTTCCTTAGTGTTTGCAATATTGTCTAAAAAATTCAATTAAAAATCATCCTACGAATATTCGATACAACTATTAGTACAAGTTTGTTCCTTAATACTTGTAATACTAGGTAAAAAATTTATATACGAATGTTCGATACAATTGTCATCGTCATAAAAATATCGTCTGCAAAATATTATTTTATACAAATTGACACACACGCGTAAAAATTGGGTTAAAAATGAAACAAATACCAATACTTAACTAAAGCTCATAAATTTAATTTAATAAATTTCTAAGAGCACTTGATTTTCAGATAACGTTATATACTGACTGCTGTATTAAGTGGTTACCTAATACGAGTGTATTTCAAAGTCCTACAAAAACTTAACAACCGAACTAAAAGGAATTTGTATTAACCAAAGTTGATGCATTAATGTACGATCAGTGCAATGTTATTTACAATTAATGCCAACAACTAAAAATTTAGTAATTACTTCATAAAAACTTACTTCGCTCGCCGATTTCGATTATAAGAGAAGAAAGATGGCTACTGCAAGAACGGGTTTCTACTCAGTGCTCAATAAATAGTGTGCACAAATACATACAAGTTTATATTATATACATGTACAAATATCGAAGTTAAACTATCGATATATGCACCTGACCATTGGTTTTTAAATATCTTTGTGTTTTTTACTTATCTTAAAATATTTGACTTGTATTTTTCGTATTTGGCGTACATTTTACAGGAATAAGTTGCATACGATGTTCTCTTCTACATCAATGAATGTTTATATTTAATGAAAAGCAGATTTTACAAATGCAGTTTGACGTTTACATTATTAAACAGTCAATACATCATATCACGAAGTGTTAATAATTTTGGAATCACATATTAGTTTGCTTCATATACGAAATTGAAATCTGTATATTTCGCCTGACTTCAGAGATTTTTAATTGATTCATTTCACATTCCTTTTAATTCATTGTTACCTTTTTACGCAAATTCATGTGAAATGTTTAAATAAATCTACGTTATCAACTAAGTGAATTGCTATACAAGTCCGCCATACAGTCTCTATTCCTGGCTATAGGATCGCATAATGCGTGCATGTGTGGTTATAGCTGGTAGATATAAACCAATATAAACTTGCGGTCGCTTACGGCAGGCATGGCGTTAGCCAACTCGTGTGTCATCGTGTGTTGCAGATGAGAAGTGTGGCATAATTGTACAACGTCTTGAAATCTACATGTTACATATTAATGAAAAACTTTTTATACAACTTTTAACGAGAGGTGAGGACTGGTAACACGAGTGGTTCGTAAAATATAAAACGATAAGGTACTTGTGAATCGAGCGATGTTGAAAGATGTAGCAGTGTGAGGTTTTGATATGGCGGCAAATTTTACTTTAGACGATGATTCGTTGCAAACACTGTCTGTGCTATTTAATTATTTTATCGGTTGCTCGAACGCGAGGATCTTACGCTCGCGTCGAATTTCAATCCGAAAACGGGTTCGTTCCGTGTTGTCGCATTGGTAAATTGAAATAACTGAACGTATACGTGCATCTCTACATTTTGAAGCACAGTGGCGACGTATCATGGCGGCGAAATTTTCTTAACTGCGGTTGTGTATCTTGATTGTTTTCATACTTAATACGTACGCCAAGGAATTTCTTTGTAAAGCAACACATTTGGTAAATGAATATATTGCGCATGAAATTATTCTCGTAAACGGCTACTCGTTATGATTAAACTAATGCAACTCTATTGCATCAGACAGACATAATATGTAATTGAAGTATCCACTATGTACATGTAACATTTACAATGAGATTATGACTTAAATGTGAAATTTTTAAGCAGCAGCTTTCTGTTAACAGAAAACACGAATGTAGTTTTGCTCCAACATCTTATTCATCTTCCTTGTTTTTTTAAGATTCAAGATGAACAAGCGCCGTAGAACATCTTCAGTTGCAAGTCGAGGCACAGAAGATGATGGTGATGACATACCGCCTGAGCCGACAAAGAGACGGAAAAAATTAGATCCTGTAAGTTGTTCTACAATATCTCTAGCAAATATTTTAATATAAATAAGCAAAAACTAATGTTCATGTACAGAGCGATTTGTGCCAACAATTATATGACGTACTACGTAATCAAAAAAAAGAAGATGGAACATTATTATGTGATGCATTTATACGTGTGCCTAAACGTAGACAAGAACCAGGTTATTATGAAGTTGTAACAAATCCTATAGACCTATTAAAGGTTATTATATTTAATGAAAAGCAGATTTTACAAATGCAGTTTGACGTTTACATTATTAAACAGTCAATACATCATATCACGAAGTGTTAATAATTTTGGAATCACATATTAGTTTGCTTCATATACGAAATTGAAATCTGTATATTTCGCCTGACTTCAGAGATTTTTAATTGATTCATTTCACATTCCTTTTAATTCATTGTTACCTTTTTACGCAAATTCATGTGAAATGTTTAAATAAATCTACGTTATCAACTAAGTGAATTGCTATACAAGTCCGCCATACAGTCTCTATTCCTGGCTATAGGATCGCATAATGCGTGCATGTGTGGTTATAGCTGGTAGATATAAACCAATATAAACTTGCGGTCGCTTACGGCAGGCATGGCGTTAGCCAACTCGTGTGTCATCGTGTGTTGCAGATGAGAAGTGTGGCATAATTGTACAACGTCTTGAAATCTACATGTTACATATTAATGAAAAACTTTTTATACAACTTTTAACGAGAGGTGAGGACTGGTAACACGAGTGGTTCGTAAAATATAAAACGATAAGGTACTTGTGAATCGAGCGATGTTGAAAGATGTAGCAGTGTGAGGTTTTGATATGGCGGCAAATTTTACTTTAGACGATGATTCGTTGCAAACACTGTCTGTGCTATTTAATTATTTTATCGGTTGCTCGAACGCGAGGATCTTACGCTCGCGTCGAATTTCAATCCGAAAACGGGTTCGTTCCGTGTTGTCGCATTGGTAAATTGAAATAACTGAACGTATACGTGCATCTCTACATTTTGAAGCACAGTGGCGACGTATCATGGCGGCGAAATTTTCTTAACTGCGGTTGTGTATCTTGATTGTTTTCATACTTAATACGTACGCCAAGGAATTTCTTTGTAAAGCAACACATTTGGTAAATGAATATATTGCGCATGAAATTATTCTCGTAAACGGCTACTCGTTATGATTAAACTAATGCAACTCTATTGCATCAGACAGACATAATATGTAATTGAAGTATCCACTATGTACATGTAACATTTACAATGAGATTATGACTTAAATGTGAAATTTTTAAGCAGCAGCTTTCTGTTAACAGAAAACACGAATGTAGTTTTGCTCCAACATCTTATTCATCTTCCTTGTTTTTTTAAGATTCAAGATGAACAAGCGCCGTAGAACATCTTCAGTTGCAAGTCGAGGCACAGAAGATGATGGTGATGACATACCGCCTGAGCCGACAAAGAGACGGAAAAAATTAGATCCTGTAAGTTGTTCTACAATATCTCTAGCAAATATTTTAATATAAATAAGCAAAAACTAATGTTCATGTACAGAGCGATTTGTGCCAACAATTATATGACGTACTACGTAATCAAAAAAAAGAAGATGGAACATTATTATGTGATGCATTTATACGTGTGCCTAAACGTAGACAAGAACCAGGTTATTATGAAGTTGTAACAAATCCTATAGACCTATTAAAGGTTCAACAGAAACTAAAAACAGATGAATATAGGGACATGGATGATTTGGCAGCTGATATTCAACTTATGGTTAATAATGCGAAAGCCTTTTATATGGTAATACATATGAACGATACGTACTAAGTTCACATTTAGATTAAGTTCATGCTTATGTTAATAAAACTGTTTTATTGATATAGCGTACGTCTCCTGAATACAAAGATGCTACTGAACTCTGGGAATTATGTGTAAATACAAAAAATCGTATTATGGAAGAGTATGAAGAGTCAGAGCCTAAAGGGAAACTTATTTTAAAAGTTGGACGACTGGTAAGTTGAAGTATTATTATACACGATAGTTAATTTCTAAAGTTGTGCGAGAACTCGATGATTGGATCAGGACGGAATGGCTTGAAAACATTTCTAAAAATATTCCAAATTCCTAAAAATTTTGATGACTTGATTACCGTTATGAGATCGAATAAAATCATGTTGTGACATTTTCGATATTTAGGCGTTCTCAAAAATCACATAAAACTTATTCATTTACTCTGATTTGTACTTATTTAATGTGTTAGTGTTGAGTTATAGAAGTTGGAAAATGGAATGAAAGTAGTATACCAAATGTGTCTACCAAATTAGCCTTCTTAGATGAAAACTGGAAATAAAATATCATAATTATTACATTCTGAATGTTTTCGAGAATCCTGAACATTTTCGGAAATCCCGAAATTTTCGAAAAACTGTCCCGATCCCCATAAAAATTCTTGTCCGTACACATTTTCGGGTGCTTCCACATCTCCATTAATTTCCAAGTGTTAAATGCAATATCGATTGTGTAGGCTAGAAAAGCTACGATAAAGCAAGAAGACGCAGAAGATACGTCTGAGAGTTCTACGAATCCCGACGAGGAGACGATCCAACAATTTGAAGATCTATTTGCGGCAGTTATGATGGCTACGGATCCATCTGACAATAATAGGCCATTGCATACTATGTTTCAACTTAAACCTTCGAAAAAAGTTCGATTATTTCTTTTATTTATCAGATAGTAGTGTGTCGTCGAGTTAAATGAATTTACTTGTACGAAGAACGTTACGTTTTCAGTTATATCCAGAGTATTACGATGTAATTGAAACACCGGTGGACTTGAAGACAGTCGCAAGGAAGATACAAGAAGGAATTTACAGTTGCACCGCCGACATGGAGAAGGATTTGATGTTGATGTGTCGTAACGCTTGCCAGTTTAACGAGCCTGGCTCTCAAATCTACAAAGATGCGAAACTATTGAAAAAGATCATTACCGCGGCGGCGAGAAAACAGGATATCGGATTCAGCAGCTCTGTCCCAAAAATCGCGACGACCGCGCCGTCGACTCGAAGTAAAAGAGGAAGCCGTACTATGGCGCAATCGTTAATAGCTCAAACAGCAGCTTTGCGGGACGAAGATGAAGAGAGCGACGATGAAGAGGAAGAAGCTGCGGAGACCGAAGAAGCTGACAATCCACAGTGGCAATTGTTTCAGACTATCAGAACTGCGCCTAACAATCAAGGTACTTTTGGTAATATAACCGACACAGCTATGATAAAACTAATATAATAATATCGACTGAATTACTTCGAATTTATTCAGGAGTTAGAATGAGTGAATATTTTTGGAAACTACCATCGAAGAGGTTGTACCCTGACTATTACAAAATGATCAAGAATCCGATTTCTTTACTACAAATTCGTACAAAAATAAAGGTAAGTAATGTAAATTCAGAACGCTTTATATTTAACGAACTGTTTTTCATTCATCACTCTTGCAGAAAGGTGAATACGGTACTGTCAGCGAAGTGGCTGGCGATATGAACATCATGTTTGAAAATGCCAAGAAGTATAATATTCATACTTCTAGACTATATAAGGTATTAAATGTTCACTTCAAGTTCACCTTCTCGTTCCAATTTTCAGTTTAATTAATCATTCATATCTTAACGTTCCAGTGCGCTGTAAAGCTACAAAAAATTATGCAGGAGAAAGTCCAAGAGCTGCTAGAATTCGATCAGGTAAATAAAACTTTAGATTAAATAGAAATTCATTTTTTGCAATATTATATTCAGGAAGTGGAGTAGGATTAAGTGTAATTGTACTTATAGGATTCGGACTCTGACAGTGAATTTGAAAATAGTTCCCATCAACCGAAACTGATTAAGCGCGCTTCGAATTTGTTAACGCGTGGCAAATACAAGGATAATATACCATTGAAGAAACGGTTATACACGCTAGTTAAATGCGTCATAGAATACGTTGTAAGTAATTCCAATTGTAATAACCGATACCGTAGCTTATGAATACAGAATTTATTGCGATGCAGTGCGAAGATGGCCGGCAGCCAATGTTAATGTTCATGGAAAAACCGTCGAAGAAATTATATCCCGATTATTATCAAGTGATAGCAGAGCCGATCGACATGTTACAAATCGAAGCTAATATCAAGGCAGAAAAGTATCAGAGCGAAAACGAGTTGATACAAGATTTTAAGGTACGCGTTACTTCTAAAGTGCTACGTATATGGATTGTGTTTCATATTTATGTCTGTAACTTTTTCTGTGGTTTAGTTAATGTTTAATAATTGTCGCCAATATAATGAAGAAGGTTCTTTAATATACGAAGACGCGAATACCCTTGAAAGAGTTTTAATGGATAAGGTAAAAGAGTTGGGTCCTTTGGATGGGCCAAGAGGAACAAAATCAAGTGGATCTACACCCACTAGAAATATTGGGTAAGTAGTAGAACTGTGTAATATAAAAACTGGCGCTAAGACTAACCGAATATACATACAAAATCCGGATATTACAAATGGCTTTTTATTACGTCCAGAAACTAAGGTGCATCTTGGTTTTCACTAATGAATTGATAAGGATGTGTGTATCTGTATTTTCGAATATCCGGATAATTGTCCCAGCCTTAATAAAGATATTAACTGCGATTGATCTATAAAAATTTGCAAAAAGAGTAAACAATTTATTGTCATTGTAATGTAATAGGAGACTTAAAAGAGTTGTGCCATTGCATCTACAAAAATTGAAAACTATGTACGACACCATAAAAGATTACCACGACGCTAAGGGAAGGCAGTTGTCGTTAATTTTTATGAAATTACCAAATAAAAATGAATACCCCGATTATTACGAGGTAATTAAACAACCGATGAACATGGAGAAAATAGCTTCCGCTTTAAAGAATAATGGATACGAGAATTTGGATGAACTCGTGTCAGACTTCATATTGATGTTCGACAATGCCTGCAAGTACAATGAACCCGACTCGCAAATATACAAGGTTCGTGTATTATTCATTTTTAATATATTTAATGCATTACTTATTTACGTATGTATTGACTACATCTGTCAAAATGGCCATAATAATCGTTTTTCTAAAAAAGAAGAGATAATTGTTGGTAATTGTTTGCTGTGTTTTCTGATAAAAATGCATCATAAAAATTGTTTAAAATAAAAATTATCATGCTTGTTTTTAAAGAGTTAGAAACCCTCCGTTAAAATTTAAAGTAAAGTAATTCGTAGGGATCGTATCGAACTGATAATACGTAAGTTTAGTTCGATTGAAATTTCGCGCTAAAACCTGGAAAGCTCGATCTGTTTATGGTCATAGTTTTTAAGGTTACGTGAAGTTAGCTTCGTTTGGAGCTTTGTCTGTCCTCTTAGCTTCTTCGATAGAACGATTTTATGAAATAACAATTAATTTGACGCGAGAGTAAATAGTAATAACGAAATTTGTGTACATATGGAATTTTATTAATGGGATAAATTTAAACGAAATACATGGAATGGTGTTCAGTGAATGTCTACAATAGTCAGAAGTTTGCACGTTTTTTACGTGCATCTATTGTTGCTCAGGATGTTCGAGCAAGGAAATATCAATAATGAGTTTTCTGTGCAAAAGACATTAAAAGTTCGACCTTGTTTCATTCGTTTTATGAAAGATAAGGAAGTAAATCAACATTTGTCAAAAAAATGCAGGAAGAGCGACACCGAAGTAAACAGCATTCTCTTCTCAGAATATTATTCATTCAATAGTCTTGTTTTACCATGTTCTCATTTTTAACTTCATCAAGTGCAATTTGTACAAATCTTATTTTAGGATGCTTTAATCCTTCAAAGATTGGTTCTTCAAACCAAGTTACAATTGAGTGAAGACGAGGAAAGTGTGCCTGACGTGGCAGCTGCGGTTCAAGAAATATTGGCTACCATCTTCACTGCTCTTTATAATCATCAAGATGAGGAAGGAAGGTGTTACTCAGATTCTATGGCAGAACTTCCAGAACATGATATTGTTGATGGCAAGAAGTGTGTTATCTTTAGTTTGAATTATATTGATGCTTTCTATTCTTAAGATCATATTTCAGCAAGTGTATACAACATAATCATATGATCGTGTTGTACTCTCTATGGAAATACAATGCTGTTGTATTAAGTGAATTATCCCTGAAATTCAATTACATTAGACATGTCTGCTGAGATACGATGTTACGAATAGGAAGCGTCGATGAATTACATAATAATTTCAATTGCAATTAATGCCATTCTTAAACATCAGGGTACGAGGACTGTCGTTAGATTTAATTAAGAGGAGGCTGGACCGAGGAGTGTACAAGCGGTTAGATCGGTTTCAAGAAGATGTGTTTACGTGTTTAGAAAGGGCTAGAAGACTATCGCGTACAGATTCACAGCCTTTTGAGGACAGCGTAGAGCTTCAAGCATTTTTTTTACGTACTCGCGATGATGTAACTCGTAGCGGAGATCTTTTGCATTCACCAGCCCTTAACTATACCCTTCTCGATCTTTCAACGCAAGTTGCAGAATTAAAACGCATCAAGCAGCAGCAAGAATTGTCATTGCCTAATGAAGACGAAAGTTGTGACGGAAATGAAACGAAAGTACGTAAACATAAGAGAATAGGCCGAGCGTCCAGTATATTTTTGTTAAACCTGTAGAAGATGGAAAAAACATGTTTTCGACGAGTTCTTCCACAGGCCGATAGAAACAAAACAACTCTTCCACCCATTTCCTTTTTCTCAATCGCCTAGCTTCAAGTCTCCCATTTGGGCACTCGGTCTATTTTCGTACATTTATGACAACATTGCAAAATAAAGCATGTAACACTTTAATAATGAAACATGTTTGATATATTTATCCTGTTTATTTAGGATTCTGAAACGAACACAAACACGGAAGGAATTAATAGTGATAGCGGCGCGTCCATGAGTTTTAATCAAGAAGTTTATAGAGCTGGTGATTTCGCGTACATAGAGCCCACGGAAAGAGGCATGGAGTACAGCGTCGTTCTCATAGAACGTCTCTGGACAAACGGGGAGGGTCAACAAATGTTATATGGCAACTTATTTTATAGACCGAGCGAGACTTATCACGTAGCGTCTAGAAAATTTCTTGATAAAGAATTATTTAAGAGCGACGCTCACGTAGCCGTACCTTTGGCCAAAGTAGCTGGAAGATGTTGTGTGTTAAGTGTTAAGGATTATTTTCGAATGCAACCTGAAGGTTTTTTGGAGAAGGATGTGTACGTGTGTGAATCGCGATATTCTACGAAAGCGAGGGCTTTTAAGAAGATTAAAGTATGGAATTTTGATCCGGATCATTTAAAATTAATTCCAAGAGAGAAACCGTTGGAGCCAAAACGAGTGATATCGGTTTACAAGGAGAGGCTGGAAAAGCACAAAGAGGAAATAGCCGAGTTGGAAGAAGGAGAAAAATTGATGGAGAAGGAAAGACCTGTATGTATCGTATTTTTATGTTACAATTATAGCTTTATTAATGGATTTCTTTAATTGTAGAATGTTATATTGTACAATTCAGAAGACACAGAAAATACTTACTACGAACAATACAATACGTGCGCGGGCCCGATAAAAACTGGCGATTTTGTTTATGTAGCAACGGATGGAGGTAGACAACAAATTGCGCAGGTCGATGCTGTTTGGTCGACAAAAGAGTACGTGACATATTGATTACAATAAATAAATATAATTTGTTAATTAAATCTAATCACTTGATTCAATTTTAGTGGAAAATGTTACTTCAAGGGTCCGTGGCTGTTAATGCCCGCGGAAGTGCCACATGCTCCTACAAAATTATTTTACAAACAAGAACTTTTTTTGTCTACGGTCGATGGTACTCACCCTATCGTGGCCGTCGTTGGGAAATCTGCTGTGCTGGATTACGGAGAGTACATTTGCAGTAAGTACTTGCAAAGATGATTCGTACAAATTGAAAGAATGAGCAGACGTTAGATGTTTCTTTAAAAAAATTTTGTATAGGTCGACCAACGGAAATCCCGGAAGACGATGTATATATTTGCGAATCGTTGTATGACGAAAGTAAAAGCCTGATGAAGAAACTCGGGCAAGAGGGTCTGAAGAAATTTCACCACAGTTCAGCAGTGACCGAGGATGAGATTTACTTCTTCCGGAGGCCCATCAACCCAGCCAAGGTACATAGAAATCTCGATTATTCGCAGAGTTCGAATAACAACGTACATTATTTGATATGCTTGTTATTTGACGCGCGACTAACTGAAGTATCATTGCTTTGCATGTGATGTGTGTGTTGTAGGTACCGGGCGACGTGGCTCAAACGCAAAATCAAGTCAAGTCTGTTACCTCTAGCTCGACTCAATTCGAAATGGTAATTGTTTACGTATCAATTTCTTACATTCTACTAACAAGATAGCGGAGTTGCATGTTCTTTCGAATAAGAAATCACATGCAAGCTCCTCGTTACTGTGAATGACTTACGTTGAGAGGTTGGCCAATGCCACCGTTCTGTATAGAAACATTGACTTGCATGTGATGTAGGTTTCGTATTAACTTTTATCGAAGCATGTGTACCCATTTTATGCCGGCATATTCATTTTACTTTCTCTTTATTTTTTGGTACATTTTCATTTTCTTTTGTTTACGTATCTTACGAGACGCCGTACTCTTCTACATAGTACTTGCGTAGGACTAGATAAATGATATTTTTCATGGATTTCAATTCAGAGCACCTGTTGGGTTTATCTCTAAACATGTGTATGTACAATACATATACAATGTATATGTAGAATACCACCGAAAAGTCTCGCTTCCATGTCACTCTAACCCAAATAATATAAAGACGAAGCGTTACGCTTTAAATGGAATGTATCCGGTACTAATACAATAGATATTTAGAAATTGTTCAAACGTTCAGTAGCTCGATTCTAAAATAGGATATCCAGCGCATTTGAGTATTTTACAATTGGATTCGAATCGATTATCTATGAGGGATGATAATGAATGATAACATTTGTATACCTCGCGATAGCTGTGGGTCGGGGGTGAAGTCTGTCCGGAAGATTGTTACGTTGAATCTAAATTTGATTGGAGAAGAAGAAAATTTGTCGTATTACATTCGGTAACGGATAATAAAGGTAACATAAACATAAATGGTATAGGAAGCATCACCATTGTTACCGAAGCTGGAAGCCGATGTGCTAGGCATGGGAGTAGGATTAGGCGTGGGAGTAGGAGTAGGAGTTGGGGAGGACAGCATGGACGCCGGTGGTCCACCGTCCGTTGGATCTGCAGAAGCTCAACCGGTGCTCTCCAATACTCAGACACCCGTGTCGACCAAAAAGGTAGGCTTGATCGTGACATTATTTCCTATACGACTTGATCACACACCAGTCGCGTTTCGTTTATAATTTCAGTTTACTTAATTTACTTGTTTTCTGTTTAGAAAAATATGCCAGCATATACATATAGTTTTTGGTTTTGCACCGTTTCTACTTTTTTGTTAATCTAACATTAGAACGACATATTAGATGTTCTACCTCTGAACGTAAACGAATATATACATATATATTTATATATATTTATATATATATGTATATCGATATTTATGTATCAATTTATTCGTTTCCATAAGACGGTGGCATTATAATTTGTGTTTTCTTCTGTTTAGAAAACGGCGGGTAAGAAATTAGTTACGGGCTATATTTTATATTCGAGTAAAATGCGAACGCAGATTACGCAAAACAATCCTGAATCGTCCTTTGGGGAGATTAGCAGAATTGTTGGCAACGAGGTATTTATTTATTTTTTTACTGTTTCATTTTTTAATTTTACTACTATAAGCATTTCTCTGAAGAAGAAGGAAAGTATGCAGATTATTCGCGTTGCGAACATATACATATTTTCGAGTATCTATTGTAACACATTAAATGGAGTGCATCATTCTGCATGCTTTATCTTTCTTTCAAATGTGACTCGTCCTTTTCAAGGCTATGATTCTCTAATTATTTTATATTTCAAATTTCAAATCATGAGAAAAGGTTTGAGAAAAATTCCTTATTAATGTATATCAAAACGTATGCATAGAAGAAATTGTTAAACAAACGTTTCTCTTTGTATTGCAGTGGAGGAAATTGCCGGCGGGGGAGAAACAAGCTTGGGAAGAAAGGGCAATTAAAATGAATGAGGATGGCGGCCAACTTAAAGGAAACAACGTCTCGGTAACGACTAACGCTTTGCAAGATGTAGTTTACGAATGTTGCTGGGACAATTGCGATTGGCAATTCGAGGATATGACCGATTGTATCGACCACTGCATCGCCGAACAAAACGGACACGTTCAGTCGTCGTTTGTTAATGCCGCGAATGGTACGTGTTATACAGGGTATAACACAAAGAGCGGGACATCAAAGAAATAAAACGTGCAATTTTTACGTTCCATATATAGATGTCGAGTTTCAATGTCAATGGCGAGGTTGCGGTCGTACGAAAAAATCTGTCCCTCCGTTCCCGAGCGTGCAGAGACTCGCGAGGCACGTTAAGGAAGTGCATATTCTTAAGTCGAACGGACGTATCATACCTCCATCGGAAAGAAGCAAGTATGATATCGAAAAGATGTGATAGATCAATTTTTCATATTTACATAATACATATTATTATCTTTATTTTTATTGCAGGAACTATATGCCATCGAAAGGGCCAACAGTATTGCCACCAATGGAAACCGGTAATTTTTTAAATCAGATTATTGTCCTTCTATTCCAATTTTTAATTACTGTTTCTATTGTAGAAACATCAGCGGCCGCAACGCAAACGAGTAATGTCCCTGTGGTTAAGCAACCAGAGCCTATGTTTGTTGCTGTTCCTCCAAGACCAAGTCGCGTACTGCACTCAGATGCCTATTTACGGTAAATCGAATCGTCATCGCATGTTTTTCCGAAAGTCGATGTGTAATGTTACGTAAGTCATTTTCTTTTAATTCTCAGATATATTGAAGCATTGAACGTAGAAAATCGATACATATCAAACTGGGATAAACAGATGAATGCTACACCCGAGAACACGCAAATTCCTGATGTAACGAAATTGCCTGCGGAATGGTTGGGCAACGGTGTGGGTAACCATGGGAACGTGGTGAACGCCTTATGGACGCTCAGGAACATGATGATGCGAGATGTGTTAGCCATCAATAAAACTTTATAGTTTATAACTCGTTAAGAGAGATCTATTAATCTTTAATATTCGATGCTACCTTTAAAAAAGAAACTGCAATTTTCAGGTCCGTCGATGCTAGATGAAAGACTGAAGACTTGTCATTTCGAACGAGCGTATTTATATTTCTACATCCTTCTTTTTCGTCTCATTTCACTTAAAATGTATAACTTAATCATAATGACCATTCATTTAGCGACATTTCTCGAATTTATAATTAAAGTTAACTAGAAAATCGAATTTTACATTACGAAATTCATAGATCTGCAATGTATATTTATTTCGATTATAATTTAGCAGATTATAAGGAAAGTTAATTTCAATTTCTTATTATCTTGGTAAATAAAAGAAAATGGAAGAGGTGCTGCGAGCATTATTTTCGATATATATCATCTATGGATCTGTTAGGAGTAGGAGAAACGGAAACGTTGCGCTGTAAGAATGGCCACTTTGTAAATACTTCGCTAATTCTTCATTTTAACTTTCATAAAAAGAAAGAATTTTGTATTTTGTGTGTCGCGCATCAATGAAAGTGTGACTTGAGAATTTCTTGTATTGATATTGTAAAATGGAACTGTATTGTACATACAAAAAAGTAATGCACACTTTAGAAATGAGCCCGACATAGATAATAACTAAATACTATCTATTGTAATTATGAATGTTAATTTCATGACAACAGCAATCGTAAATTTTTAATGTAATATTTTCACTTACTTTTTTAAAGGATCTTTGATATAAAAAAAAATAACTATTCGATAATCTGTTATTCGCTATCTTTTATATGATATTATTTCGGTCGTTTCAACGAGGTAGTATTATTCAAATTGTACATAATTAGAAATGATAGTAATTTTCTAAAGTATAACAATTACAGAAACATTTGACATTGTTACTGTTACTTCCTAAAGATTACAGAAAAACATGGTCGATACAACACTTATCTGATCTTTCTTACTGTATTACTTATGAATAAAAAGGACATTTCTTTATAACAAGAAACTGAATGGTGCCGAACAATTGAATAAATCAAACGTTTAATTCTCTTTAAATGTATACAATTATTATAAGTAATAATAGAAGTTCGAACGTATTATCTTTCATTTCTCCATATAAAAATAATATTAGATTAACTGTAAATTGTTTCTAGTTTTAGCTGATAGTTTTTGTTTCAAGCAGGGACTGAGACGGTTCCGAAAATAATTGGTTTAAACTCTTATACATATATCGGTTCTGACCGAAAAAGTTATGGAGAACTGAAAAAATATCATTATTGTTATTAATAGACTGTCGACGTTTATGCATTTATGGAAATATTCTGATGATTACATGCTAGATGTTAGTAGAACTGATGTATCTAAAACAGTCTAACAGGCATTTTGTCAGTTCTCGATAACTATTTTAAGAACTGGAACCGATGTCGTGACTATCTTCAATCCTTGATTTGAAGAGAACGACTTATAAAGATATAACATTCTAGAAATTTTATTAGTTACTGCAAGTAAAAGAAATATACTGTCAGTACTATTATACTCAATTTATTATGTATTAACATTTTAGTGATTCAGTTAGACTCTACAATGAATTTATCAATTTAAGAAAATGAATAGCATCTTCTGTTTTAATTTAATTTCGTGAAAATACAAAACGCAAACTTTCAAATTAGAAATCGCTCACGCGGCCGCCGTTCTGCCAGTCTCCCCATTTCGTCGGATCTTTTTCGCTATTGGTTATCAGTTCGCCGTTCGGATCAGTTTCCACGAGTACCAAATCCACGAAACGTTCTTTTGGAGGTACTCCTATAATTTTTTTTAACAATAATCATTAGACTTATGGTACAACTTCAGTAAACGTCATTGAACAAAATATTGTGTGCAGTTTTCTTTCGCAAAATGTTATAAAAATAGACAGAATAAGTAACAGTCGCATGTCATTAAATTCATAATGCTATTTTTCAATATAACAAAGCTGCACGATTAATTTACGTATTTTTCACCGTATTTAAAACGAAAGATTACATAAATCAGCACAACGAAGTTGCAAGAAAAAAATTAAATTGACAATTGACAATTTTTTAGTATGCTAACGATAAATAATTTACAATATTATTTGATTCGCATTCTGCTCGTGAATTTTTAAGCATTACACATGTTTCATAAGTCGTTCGTAATGCGACGTATTATACACTTTTGGAACGTTTACTAAACAAAACGTATAAGATTATAGTAAAAATGAAATATCTCAAAGAAATAATGAGACAGTCTCAAGCTCTACCGATGCCGCTGTTTTCACTGATCTTTGATAATAATTGTTTGTTATATGCTTTATGATCGACGGGAGCTACACCGGCGACCGTAAACCTTAATCTGTTTTCATCATTGAACATTTCCATGGTAACTCTCAACTTAAACACAAAACTTCTAAACGCAGCTTCGCTAAATTTGTCAAGATACGCGTCGTTATCGTTCTCCTTTAATTCTCCGAGTTCCTCTCCCGTGAGGCCCAATATTTTTTCCGCCTCACCGCTGAACGCAGTCACCCATTGGTTAGCAGACCAATCTGCTAAGCTCATGTGCGTGAGCAAACGATACCGATAATTCGGATATTCTTTATTGCATTTCTCACATCTATACATGTCGTTCGACTGATCGATCAATTTCTTCTTGCAACCCTCTGAGGGACAAGATTTGTATATAGCATTTTCAGCGCGTATCAGCTGAACAGTTGCTTTCACAGTGAACATCTCCGCGTGACCGTGGAATCCTAATTCTTTTTTCTTCGCCTCCGCGAATGTAGTAAACGGTCCGCTCATGTCTACGGCTCCAGCGCCCATCGTCTTCGAAAGCGATTTAACCATTTCGTTACGACCGCCCGCGTTAAACCATCCACGCAATCTATGCGCCTGTGGCATATCTGGATCAATTTGGAGAACTGATGAGCTAAAGATCGATAGAGTCTTTCCTCCGCCGAATTCGGCAACGCGTGCTCCTTTGATAGCCACAACCGGGTTGTTGCTCGAGTCGAACTGTTCCGCATCTGTTCCCCACAAGGTGAGGACTACCATGGTGTTGGATTCGTCAATGATCTCAATGTCCCTTTTCTTCAATTCCTTGCCGCTGTTCCGGGAAGTTAAATGTTGTACATCGCCGCTACTTTTCACGATGGCCAAAACGTCCATTATATCGTTACTTTGCTTCGTCTCTATTTTATCTATCGTCTCAAAATTAAATTGAAGCGACGGAATGCTATCATCATCAGATTCGTGATGTGGAATCACTTCCGAATCACCGGTCAGAGTCATTTCGTACTCGTTCTTCAAATGATTGAATTGTTTGTTTGCCGTTTTCAAAGTAGCTCTCGAAATGTAGTAAATCTTTCCGATCTCGATCATATCGTAGAACTTATCTACTTGATCTCGAAACGCTGTACATCTAATTTCTCCGGTCTCGTCCACGAGATCCATAGAGAACAATTTCCCTTCGCCACGTGAATTGCTCCAAGTTCTGATACCAGACTTGCTGACGACTCGAACTTTTATTACCCATTTATTTTGATAGGGGCTTAATCCAACTATCGGAGTTGTTGATATGTTGTTGGTAGAAGAACTTTGTATACTTTGTTTTGGCAACGAAGTGCTTGACTTTTGAGGAGCTGCTCGCGGAGCAGATGAAACAGATTGTACAGACTGTCCTGATTTAGAATCAGTACTGTCCTCACTTGTTGGATCACCAATTTTACATCCAACTTCTTCACCAGGAACTTTAATATCAATGCTTAATATTACCATTACTCTTTTCTGTTTACCCGCGTTGTTTACCATACTCATGGCATATCTGTTTATCTGACAAATAGTATATTCTATCAGACTGTTGTTGGATACCATTTCATTCAGTTGGGTAGCCAGCATCGCAAATGAATTCAATCGCTTTCCATCAGATACAAGCAGTCTGTAACGCTCCAAATTATTCGAACTAGCCAACTTTTTATGACCCTGTAAAAAAATGTTATCATTTTCAAAGAATCGTGTCTGAAGATAAATGTCAGTGGAATATCAAACGATTATCGAGGTTAAATTACAATATGTATGAGTTATTTACCAGTATTTGTAATATCGGCTTGTCTACCTCGATGCCGTTCATAATTTTATCCAACGCTCCTTCCGTAAGCTCGTACATTTTGTATGACAGTCAACGAAATATGAAACAAACCTACCGTCTATTCTGTATATTCTCTTCTTAGAAAAACTATCTCCTCTTTCAATACCGCCAATTTCTACGCATTAGGCCGTTAGGCGACATCTACTTCTGTTTAATCTCCCCCTTCCTTCGTCACAAAACTTCAGTCTCATTAAAAATTACCGCAGTACAAAAGGAGAATTATGTGGAAAGTATGTGGGTATGTTCGGTTTTTCATTTGTTTCATACTTTAGATTTAATTTACGGTATGGTAACGTGATAATTGTTTATTACACGCATGTAAATTGACGGCTATATTCGCGCCACAAGTTAGTGGAGAGGACGTGATTCTATACGGATACTCTCTGATCAAAACAGAAATCGAAAAATTTTTCTTTCAAGTACTTTAAATTTTATAAAATGGCGTGTGCTTTAGGAATTGTAATGAAATTAATTATTAATTATTAGTAATAATAAAAATACGCTAACCTTTTTTAGAAGCCAACTTGAACATTTAAGAGAACGTGATAATTTAGTAAAATCACATACAAAATTTAACTTTCTTTTTACTCTCCATTAATTTAATAGTCTCCAATAATACCGCTTGCTTTAATGATTTTTATTTAAAAAACTACACGATAATGTCGGTTTGTTGTGACGTCATTTAAAAATTGGGGTTTTAATCTATTAGGATTGTGCTTTGTGAAGTTCTCTGATATTGCTATCAATAAAAATCTTTGTCTGTCTCCCAAAAGACCCCTGTCATAAAAGCAAACGTTAAATCCCTCGATTTTAATAATTATTTTCCCAAAGATTTTCACGATGCTATGATCCTGAAATTCATCGGATATAGTTCATTTTTTATATTTCAATTTATACTCTCTCAAAGTCTTGATAAATTCGTGAAAAACTTGAAAGCTATAAATGATTCTTCTATTATTAACTCCTTTTCGTTATATTTAATAAATCACGAGCAGAATATGAACTAATGATTATTATATGTTAAGTTCTACCATGCAACAATTAAATGAATAAACGGTAATTAACATTGCTCTCTTTTCGAGGATTATTCTACGTAACTCAGGGAACGTGCTTACTAGGTATTGGTTGTAACTTCAGTTTTTGGTGAAACTGTTTTAGTCTTACTGATTCCTCCTTCTTTTCCACTTTCGATGGATCTGATGGTTCGTTGGCCCGTAGTAAAAATCCTAAACACGATAGAAAAATATTCGATGACGAAGTGTCAAAACTCCTCCGTCGCGAATCATACTTCACATGCATGTTTAAAATACCTGTTGAAAATTGTCTGGGTTTAAATATCGACGATCTGTACGAAATCTGATTCGTGAACTTCAATAAAACAGGGAGTTTCTGCATGAAAATACTCATATTTGCAATTATTATGCTTCTCAAATAGTTAAAAAATTATAGCTTCGATGCATTCGTTTGTTACGTTTCTAACAAAACACTTCGTAAAACTGTAGGTAACGCATACATGCAATTTTTTGTTTCTCTTGTCAGATGTTTTACATTTTCTGTGATATTGTATCTGCAATAATACCCAGGTTTTTCATTTACATATTTATTGTTTTTATGTACAGTGTATCTTAAAACAATTCTACTACTACACTGGCTTATTGATGTACATATTTATATTAATGTATCCTATTAGCATTATGTTTCTTTGAAGTATCTAGAAGTCTGTCACTCGACCTTTTCTTTCCCAATCTCCATATCTCGTTGGTTCTGGTCCACGTGGACCTCCTACTTCACCTGTTTCTGGATTAGTATTGTTTGGAAATGGTTTCAATGGTTCCTTCTCTTGATGAGGATGTGTGTCCAGTTCCTCTAATCTTTCTGTCACACATCAAACATTTTATTGATATTTTTCCTGGCCTTCAAAACAATTTTTAAGTACCTATGGGTGTTCGTTCCCTCAGCTTTTCCCGAAATTCACGCAATCTTGGACTCTCGGTTGATTTTTTTTTCTCTGAGAAGAGAATTTGCAATTCTGAAAAGCGATATTAATGTTTTGTTACTTATGTATTTATTATCAGAATTAAATATCATATTTCTTTATAAAAGCACTTACGTGTATGTAGAGACTTAGGCGAAAGTATGGGGATTTCATTATTTATATTTAGCAATTTATTTACTTTATTCATTGTTGGATTTATACTTGTCAATGAGACCTTTGAAGAAGGTTATGAGACTCAATGTGCGTGCAATCATGAACCTGAATCAAGTATAATGAACGCGTGCAATATTTAATACATAACCGTGTGTGATAACAGTAAACAAAATAAATTGCACAATAGTTAGTGATTTAGTAACCTCATAATTGTTACATTAAAGGTAATGTATATATTTACAATTGTATTATATTTTAATGTTTCGTTTACTCATATGTTCTTGCGTTCGTAGTATTTAATTTTATTACATTGAAGTTTGCTTGTCAAATGTTGAAACATAAGAACATGTTTTTTATTAAGTAGGCCACGGAAGAGCTGTTTTTTAATGTGTACAATCTATTTTATTAATTGTAATATTAAGTTCGTGAAATCACGATAATTAATGAGAAATTTTGTGCAATGGTTAGTGCAACGCAAGTGTGATCAAGTTGAAATAATAATCCTCGTAAATAGTTAAATATTCGAGAAGTGGACTTCGAAATTAGCTAAGAGTGAACCTTTTGATGAATGTTTCATTGTCACACGAAAAAAATTGTGATAAATACCGAAATAATTATTTGTACCTGTATAATGCAATGTTGTTAAATATCTATTTATATTTACACTTTTTTGTACAATTTTGTCTATAAAAATATATTTTGCTACATAAATACATTGTCAAGTAAGAAGTAGGAAAAAGGCGACCAATATCTATGATATGCTACACGTACATTTACACAAATTAAAATGCAGTTTATATGCTCTGTAAAAAGTGGTTTGTTACCAAACTCGACACAGAATGTTGAGAAACAATTCTATAGATTTGCTAAAAAGATGAGCATAAGAGATGCGTTGAATACAGCTCTTGATGAAGAATTAGCAAGGGATGAGAAAGTGTTTATCATGGGAGAAGAGGTTGCGCAATACGACGGAGTGTACAAAGTGACCAAAGGTCTTTGGAAGAAGTATGGTGATAAGAGATTGATCGACACACCTATTACTGAAGCTGGATTCTGCGGCATAGCTATCGGAGCAGCGCTTGCAGGCTTGAGACCGATATGCGAATTCATGACTTTTAATTTTTCGATGCAAGCTATAGATCGAGTAGTGAATGGTGCTGCAAAATGGTACTATATGAGCGGAGGAAATTATTCCGTGCCTATTGTATTTCGTGGCCCTAACAGCCACGCAAAGGGTTTAGCGGCACAGCACTCTCAATGTTTCGCAGCATGGTACATGCATGTGCCAGGTTTGAAGGTCATGTCACCAACAACGTGCGAAGATTACAGAGGCTGCTTGAAATCTGCTGTTAGAGATCCGGATCCAGTAGTAATGTTAGAGAGCGAGATAATTTACAATCTGGAGTTTCCCGTATCCGATGAAGCCATGGATAAAGATTTCACAATACCTATTGGCAAAGCTAAGATTGAGAGAACTGGTAAACACATCACTTTGGCTTCGCACGGTCAAGCTTGTGTTTACACGATGCAAGCAGCAGAGATGCTGGCAGGACAGGGGATAGAAGCAGAAGTGGTCAATCTGCGCTCCCTCAGGCCGCTAGATTGGGAGACGCTTTTCAAATCTGTTACAAAAACTCACAGACTGATGACCGTTGAAACCGGTTGGCCTAATTGTTCAGTAGGCGCTGAAATTGTGGCGAGAGTAATGGAGAACCCAGTATTCTTTCAACTCGATGCACCGGCTATTCGTTGCACTGGTGTCGATGTACCAATGCCGTACGCAGAAAGTATCGAGTACGAGTGTTCGCCGAAAAATCATCACATCGCGGACTTTGCAAAGAAACTTTGCGGCGTAAAGACTTAATTTTGCTACGTTGAAAATTTCCTTTAGCAAAAGGTCATTCAACTTTCCCTGTGTATTTTTATTGACTGCGTGAATTGTTAGAAGGAAAATTATGTGGTTTTAATATCGCAATGAAATTGTTTCCAGAATACTTAAATTTGGCGCTGTACCGATGTCTTTCTGGTGAAGTGATACTGCAATATTCTGATGAATTTACAAACCAAATTAATCAAATTTATTTCTTAGGTAGGTCACTTTTAAAAACTGCAATTTATGCAAGCAACGTTTCTTGTCAAGTAATACAAAATAAATAGCGAATATGTTAGAAACTTATATTTTGTTCTAGTGTTACATTTTCATAAACTAAGAATTATGGATTGAAAAGTAAAAATGTACGAATATTGAACAAGAATATCGGCAGTATAATGTACGAACCAAGGAGGAAAATTTATTGGTTTGCATTAACCAGTAGGATAACAGTCATACTCTTACAACTTGTCTTCAACACGTTGTGTCCCGATCACGAAGCTGATGCGTTTAAGAGACCTGTTGATTTATTAGAAAAATCTTCATTGTGCGATAATGTAATTGAATATTTATTCGGTGGCCTTGCGAGATGGGACGGCGAATATTTCTTACACATCGCGAAATACGGTTACACGTACGAAAACAGTTTAGCTTTCTATCCGTTATACCCTTTGTTAATTCGAATCGCTTCCGTTCCTATCAGCAGAATATTTTTCATATTGAACAGTCGTAGCTCTATGCTTGTCGCAGCTGTACTAATTAATGTCGTCTGTTTCATAAAATCGGCAGTTGTATTTTATGATCTAAGTAAGGCAATATTAAAAAAGAGCAATATAGCTTATAAAGCCGCAGTACTGTATTGCTTAAACCCAGCAAGTATATTCTTCTCAGCTATCTACTCTGAATCATTATTCGCTTATTTAACATTTTACAGTATGTTAAAATCTGCTCAATCAGATTCGTACGTATCTTTTCCAATAGGTTTATCCATTCTCACGAGATCAAATGGTATAATCAATATCGGTTTTCCCATATACTTTCAGCTGAAAAAATTGTTTCATACTTATACAGGAAATTTGTCACGTGAAACGCTTTATCAATATATTTTTAGCTCGATCATTTTAAAAACTTTCTGCGCAATATGTAACACAATAATTATATCCATGGCGCAATTCGTTTTACTGCAAATATACAATTATATTATCTTTTGCATTCCGAATCCGAATCAAATCATCCCTCCAGAAATAATTGCTCACAGCGTGATGTATAATTTAACACTGCCCGGTAGTGATAACGTAGAATGGTGTTACACGAAAATCCCAATCGCATATTCTTATATACAGAAAAAATATTGGAACGTGGGCTTTCTCAGTTATTATCAAATGAAGCAAATACCAAATTTTATCCTAGCATTTCCGATATTGTACATCATGATTAAATGCATAAAGGAGTACTTCGTCGAGCATAAAAGATATTTTTACACTCTGGGCTTCGTTAAGCGCATCGAAAATAACGAACATTCCAAAAGGAAGAAATACCCGATCGAAATGCTCGTGTTTATCGTTCACGGTTTATTTTTAACTGTGTTTTGTATCTTTTTCGTGCACATTCAAGTGAGCACGCGTCTAATATGTTCGGCGAGCCCGTTAATATATTGGTATTGCACTTTGTTCATGAGCTGCACATCTGGTAAAAGCGACGATGATTTATATGAGTTTAAGGAAAATATATCTTCCAAATGGAAAGTATATTTCTTAACACAGAAGAAATACACTCTGCAAGACAGGCTTGTACTATCCTATTTTCTAGGATATACAATTTTAGGATGCTTTATGTTTCCCAATTTTTTACCATGGACATAATGTACAGTAACTCTTGCATCGTTAAACAAAGTACGCATTTTATTCTTGTATTACATCTCTTTTATAATACCCCACTGTAAATTGTTATACATATTGTTCAATAAATTATTATATTTTTATATAAATTGACAAATGTGTCGTAAATTTAGGATATTAGATCTTTGATGGAACTATTTAACGTGTGACTTTTTGTGTTTAAGTATTTCAATCGGTGTCAGGTACAATGTCTGTGCACAATCGGGACACTCGTATGCTTGACTGTTAGGTTTGCGTTTCACAACATCTGTTCGTTTCTCAGTATCTTCCGTAACCGTTTTGGTACATGAGTGTTGGTGCTGTAATTTTTCTATGCTAGTTAAAACTGCTTGCATGTTACAATTTTGACAGTACCACTCGGTTTCGAGCATTTCTACAGCTAGTTTGTCGCTCCATTCGGTTTCCCTTATACTAAAACAAGGAAAGTCAAAGTTATCGTTATTTAAAAGGTACACACAATTGTTCGGATATGCGTAAATTCAAACTTTCGTGATCCTGCTCGAATCCGAAAAAATTTTCGACCCATGGCTGACCCGATTTTTCGGATACCCGCACACCCCTACACTTTAGCTTATATTACATATGTTCACTTTAAAGTAATAATCATTTACCAATTGTATGTAATGGCATTTGTTACGCGAACTCCTCCTTTCATCGGATGCGGAATTATTTCGAAATCTGATTGGAAAGGATTAGGATCTACGACCGCCTTATTCTCATCATTTCCTACGTATATCGTTTTGAGATCAGCTGGTAAAAGTCGTTTCAACGTATATGGAACTGTAGTGTGCATGTACTCGATCAATTCTTGAGTAAGCGAATACTCGATTTCGCTGAAATCTTGTTTCTCGTCGTCACGTGAATCTAAAAAATATTTGCTAATCACAATTTGTTCAAAAATTTTAAATGTCTAATCAATACCTTTCAATCGTTGATTCAATAAAAAATCCCACTTGTGTCTTAACTTGGTAGCCTTCATTAATAAAATCTGACCACTGTCAGGAACAGGGAACTCCAATTGTAACCAGGAATCGCAAACTATACTACAAAACGTAAATATGATTCAGTGAAAATAGTTCTACGATTTAATTACGTTTACTGAAATACATACATTGAAAATATACTGTTTGTATCGATTTGACGTGCGAATAAAAGCAATGTTTGCGCAGCGGGCATTCGGAGTGTATTCACCAAATAAGGTTTGGTTGTCTCCAGTAAAGATCTGTTAATGTGTGATTAATCAATCAATTGAAGTAAACGAGGAAATTTAAAGTACGATTAAAAACTTACAAGTATGTTAATATTGTATGCTTCGGACTAACAGGAGTTTTGCTTTTAAATCCTGGTATTGATACGACATCAGATTCTTCTAATTGCAATATCTGAGGATGATTTCCAAAGAAACTCATTGGATGCAAGGCAATGTAAGGCTTCGCTTTCGTGTGGAATAGCTGCTCGTTTGTTGACTATAAAAGTTTATTATGTATCAACGCTATTTGCATTAATTTCATCTAAATATATACCGGTTTAATAAAAAAGTATTATGTGTAGTAACTTATTGTTTAATGATTTTGTCAAAATATGTGAATATATTAATTAAATGATATTTCTTACTGATTCACGCATATACATGTCGATATTACCTTACAATAATTAAATTCATCGGCACATGCGAATTGTGGATACAAACCACTGCACAGTATTAACTTCAACATTGTTAAATCCTTGTAACTGCATGCAGTGGCTGCTGTCAACAGATTCTGCACTTGGCTCGGATCATTCCTCATACGAAATTCGATATCCTTTATATCAATTTCGCCGTCATCCTGATCGTTATCTTCTATTTGTATATCGAAAGATTCTAGTTTAAGCTTCTTTCGTTTCCTGGGTTCACTTTGTTTGTAAGTTCTTTTTAAGGATTTCAAGAGTTTCAGTTCTCCGTGTCTGATAGCGCGTTCCGCGCTAGACATTGAAGAATTTGGCTCTGGAAGACTTTTCAGTAAACTGCAATCCTATTTATTACGGGAAAGATGGACAAATAAGCCTTGAAGATAATTTTACAAGGTAGATAATGACCACAGATTTTTATGCAAACTATTTATGATATCAGTTTAAAAAATGTGTTTTAAGTAAATGTTTCTTTTATTATTTGAAGCTTTCGATATTCTGAATAGGGCATTTATAATTTCAATTTTCTTCTAAATGCATCAAATCTGTAGTCCAATAATAATTTACCTGTAGTAAATCTTTGAATTGCGCTCTCAATTTTGTCATTTCGTAAAATCGTTGTTCTTCTAATCCTCTTCTTCTGCACCATTTTTTACTACTACTACCGCTACCTCTACACTCTTGAGAACTCTGTTGTTTCACTTCTAACCATTCTCTAAAGGCATTTAGTAACGTTATTGGATCGCCGTGATCAGACTCCAATTTTTTTCTAGATGTCTTCAAAACGTTTGTGTTCAATATATGTGAAATAGAATTGAACAAGAGACATTTTTCGAACAATATATTACCTCGCATTCGGAGTCTCTGTAAGCTCTGTTCGTGAACGGTGTTTGTATGCTCAAGGCAGCAGCTAACGACAATACTGGCTCTACTTGATGAAAGATAGAACCCATTATCAACATCTTCCCTATCGTTATATCAACAGGTAAACGAGCAAGTGTCTTTCCAATGCACGTTATTTTTTCATTATCCGTCAATGCATCCTATAACAATCATAAAAATCCGTAATCGAATTAAATTATTGTTTGTATAAATATACTAACATGTTCTTTCAACGACAATATTGAATTTTCTATGCTTTCCGCCGGCGGTGGTTCTATGAATGGAAACTTCCGCGCGTCCGGAAGTCCCATCGCGATCATTTGTAAAAGCAACGAATCCAATGGTACGCGTTGCAACTCCGGAGTGGAGTACTTCTCCAAAGCCGTATATTCTTCTTCCGAATATAATCTGCAGTTATTACAGCATAAAAATCCAATAGCTTTAGAACAGGCTCACACCAATCTTAGTAATTATAGATTAAAAAGATATACCCCCTTAAATCTACTCGACAGATACACCAGATAAACTTAATACTGTAGCAATAATCGCGATGCTCGCATACTTGCATGTTCGTATAAATATAATGATCCAATTTAATGTAATCAATTAGTTACTTCACACATCAATATAATCTCAACACTTATAATTCCGCAGAGGAATTGATTCTAAATACTTTAAGTTACATTAAAAGATAAGCAATATAATCTACAGAAATTGTTTCAAGCTTAGATCTTCATCTTCGAATGCATTTACAATTAATTTCAGTACCTATAACATACTCCGGGTCCGGTTCTACCGCTTCTTCCCTTGCGCTGTTCAGCACTGGCTTTGCTAATCCAGAATTCCTTCAGCCGTTGCATTTTACACGTTGGGTCGTAACTCATTTCTTTTACTTTTCCACTATCGGCAACGAATCTGATACCGTCTATGGTGATAGAAGTTTCGGCAATGTTCGTCGACACGATGCACTTTCTTACCCCTTCGGGAGGATAATCGAATACCTTTAAAAAATGGTTCAGTCAAACTGTATATACGTGGTTACTATAAGTACATGAACAAAATTTTACTTTATCTTGTTCGCTAATAGCTAGAGTACTATGAAGTGGTAATACGATCCAATTATTCTTTTTCTGGCTGTACTCCTTTGCTGCGTCTACGACTGCAGTTATTTCACTCATTCCACTTAAGAATATTAACAAGTCTCCCTTCTCATCAGCTGAAAATACAAATTATTATTATAATACGGTTAAAACTTGTAATGTAGCAAAAAATCTTGCACAATAAATAGACTGTTTTACCTGGATACTTTTGGTCAATCATTTGCATTATTTGTATATATGGACTTGGATTAAATCTGTCATTTTTGTAGCGAATATCTTCTATAGTGACAGGTCTGTATAATAATTGAATAGGATACAATCGCCCAGGAACCTATGCATATGAATTAATTAATTACTGAATATTTCATTAAAATATTCTCTTTTTTTCTTAATGATTAGAAGTGTACCTGTATTACTTTAACGTCTTCTTTGGAAAAGTAATTGCTAAAGAGCTCAATATTAATAGTTGCAGACATAAGTACTAATTTTAGATCTTGTCTTTGATTAATGATGCACTTCATAATGCCAAGGAGAAAATCTCCGTGTAAATGACGCTCATGAACCTCATCTAACACGATCACATCGTAAGACAATTCTGCATCTCCAGATAACTATGAGGAACATACAGTTAATTGAGATTAATATCAGACCGTTTATAATTCGTAGTTTTATTTCTACCTGTCTTAGTAAAAGACCTTCTGTTATGAATATAATTTTTGTATCTTGATTCTTTTGCTTCTCAAAACGAATTTGATAACCGACATCGGTGCGATTCTCCGTTAACGTTTCGAAAGCAACGCGTTTCGCTAAGGATATGCAAGCTATTCTCCTTGGTTGTGTACAGGCTGGAAAACTTCTGGTTTAATATTTATAGAAAATGTAGCTTATACAAGATTAAGATTGTTATTATATTTACCAATTCTTTGAAAACCTGATGCATATAAATATTGAGGCACTTGGGTGGATTTCCCACAGCCAGTATCACCAGCTATGATAACAACTCGTTCTTGTCTTACTGTTTTAACGATTTCATCTTTGTGTTGATAAACTGGCAAATTTGCTTGTGTCTCTCTCAGCTTCTTCAATTTGGTGAACTTCTCTTTTTGCTTGAAATCTAAATATAATACAATTACATTCTGAAACTTCAGTAATCTCTCTTTAGTCAATGCTTCAGCTGGTGGAACCCGTGCAAACAGTTCATTAAAATTGTAACTCAATTTGAAATTGATACAATGTGATTTGTGATATGTTTCTGGCACACCAATGTTATTTAAGGAATAATTAGGTGGCACATCAGGTGTTTTCAATTTCTTTTGCAGACCCTCGTACTTGTTAACAAATTTCCAAAAATCGTCAGTATCCTGAACCACATTTAAACTTCCTGTGAATACTTTGTTCAATTCGTGTTTGTACTGGCTGAAGCAGAAGTCTTCAAAATATTTCTGAGGAACTTCTTGAGTGACATCATTTTCGTTATCCCTTCTATCATGATTTCTGTATGATAATCTCGAATCATATTTGCTTTTTCTTTGCCTATCACTCTGCTGATTGTGTTTATATTCGCGTTTTGATTTATGAAATTCATACCGTGAACTCATAGTTTTATCAAGTATTTTACGTTGGTGTAAATTCTCGGCATTTCATTATGTTAATTGTACAAAGATCACAATTGTATTTTTTTTTATGAATATATAAACTGTAATCTTTTATATTATAAAGTATTCTGTACTATGTTGTAACATAACCTAAAAAATTCTTTTACTCGTACAATTTTTCTTTGTTTCGAATAGTTTCTGATTCTTTAAGAATATTTTTTGTTCCAATACATAAATAAAGTATGTAGAAGAATTAAAATGCTTGTATCTCGTTTTGATACCTTATATTTCTTTCTATGTAGTTAACTTTCAAGCTTATAGGTTAGAATACTGACAACAATATATTATATACTACAGTACAAGCATGAATACAGGTGATATATGAGGTGATATAAGTATACCATATTTATTATATATATGTATGTATGTGGGTGGGGATAGTACGTGTAGATAGTTAGGTATAGCTTTATCTTTATGGTCAATTTTAAATAATCAATACAAATACAAAAGGTATAATTAAAATTTAATTGCAATTGAGATCGATGTTTTAGAAAATTAATTTCTTGAAATATTTTTTTAAATAACTAACAAATCATAATATAAAGGAATGTAAATTTTTTCAAAAACCTTTAATATGTTTATTAAACACCAAAATACAATTAGAAACAACAGTAGATCAACCGATATTTTACATACAATACATTCAAGAAGACGAATTTCAAATATGTAAATTGTGTACATAGATCAGTGTTTACTGATAATTCATAGAAGTTATGGATAAAGGGTAAATAAAAATACGTCATCTAAACTATATTCTTCTACTTGTCTTGATTTCCACGAATACTATGTCAAGAATCCTGGTAGCGAAAGATAATGTACATGAAAACCTGATTAATTTAATACCTTGGATGCCACCTCATAGTCAGTTTTCCTGCGACTAAGATCGAGTTCTGCAATGTTACTCTGATTACTCTGATGTCATGTGAGTCGCCGTTCATCGTCTATCACAGTTACCTCGGATTGCGTCGATGTCGCGTCTAGTTGGTGACAGATAATAATGCAATCACGAGTTTGAATCTGGTGCCCATTTTCATCGAGCCGTGTCGAATTTCCGTGATAACCGATTTTCGAAACCGCAGGGAGAGAAAGCGAGGGGACAGGGACAAGAGACAGAGAGGCTGGCGAGAGCTTCGCGTATCTCTTCAGCCGATTGACCTTATCAAACGTTCGCCAGATTAGCGTCACTTGTCCGGATGAGTGTAGTTGGCAGTGTCAGCCGACGGTAACACCGAACCAGTGTGCGTCGTCAATCGTCGTGTCGGGAAAAATGATGATCACCGTGGTCCAGGCGAAGCTCGCGTCGATGATCATCATCGGCGTGGGCAGCTTCGTCGTCGGCTTGGCACCGGCTTGTTTCGTTTCGCGCGTCCGTTACCTCCAGCAACGATTGTTCCTCTCGTGCACGCTGTGTTTCGGCGCCGGTGTACTCTTGGCCACTTCTATCCTCCACATGCTACCGGAGACGCGGGAATCAATGCCGAAATACGCAGAGCTTCTCTTCGCGTCCGGTTTTCTTCTTTTATACCTGATCGACGAGATTGTTCACTATTTTTGGAATAGTGACTATCAGCATCAACCGAATAGGAGCGCAGCAAACGGTAATAATCAGTCGTAAGTACGATTTCTTGATTCCTTCGCTTGTCTGATTATCTCGTTAGATAGGTCGTTACTGAAGTAGAATTGGTCTTACGTAAAGTATCGAAGTAATATTTTATTGCCTCGTCGCGCAAAGATAACGATGCTCGATAATCAGAAAAAATTGTCACTCTTTGTTCCTCTTTTCACAGTATCTCCTACGAAACACTGGACAGTTCTTTATATTTTTAGTTATGAAAGATAGACAAAAGTTTTTATACGAAACTTGCATGATTTAAGGCAGCACATATTTTGATGGAAACGAATTTTTTTAATGTTATTACTTAATGAGATATGTTGTTCAAGTTCGTTTTTTATGATGAGATACCATTTGATAGAGCTTTTCAAGACGACTTCATTTATTCTTGATATATGAAGTTGATTTTAATTAGGTTTTGAGATATTGAACTTCCATTTTTGCGGAGTAGGAATGGGAAATACAGCAGGGGAATATATTGTGGCTAAACTGAATAAAATGGATACTTATATGTTACGATCGGCAGCCCCAAAGGACAATACTTTTTCGCGTCCGCTGCTGCGCTCACAGTTGAAGACTATTTATTGCCAAAAACGTATCTGATTAAATAATAAAGCAAAAGAATTCGGAAAAAAATTTTTCCCATCAAAAATATGAACAGGTTCCGCGTAAAAATTTCTATCTATCTCTCGTAACTTAGGAAATAAAGGACAGTTCAGTGTTTCGTCGGACACCCTGTATAAGCATGGTTCTATACATATAATGGTGCTGTATAATAATATATAGTTACAATTGAATTTTATATAAGACAATGATTTGACTTTAACAGCTTCAAGTGACTTTAACAGCTCCAAGATAACATCTGTACAAGATAAGAATAGCTCACTAATTAATGCATCTGAAGATAGTACTTTCTTATGTGTTTATCGAACTGTTCCATTTACTTAAATAACTTAGCAATACTTTTCTAATTCTAAACCGCTTAACGCATAATATGTACATACATATCTTGTCTTTGGCGAAACTCTGATAATAGAATACCGTTCCGATAATCGTGTTATTCTTTTGCTCTTCCTATTTCGCTTTATCGGACGATCCAATAAAATCTTTGTATTTTCACACGAGAGAGCATCAAAAGTTAAACGTTGAGTCATGAAAACCGATTTATCGGCCGATTAGTAATCCAATATCTATCATGAATTTCATTCTTTTTCATTATAAATTCACTACGATCCACATTTACCTATCAATTTTATCTGAAGAATATGCAAAAATATGTAACATATTTAAACATTATTAAATTTTAATTAGATTACACTTTTTCAATTGAATTTTGCACAAAGCTTGCAATCTATTAAACAAGTATGTATATGTTTTTCTTGATCAGTGACGTTAATTGATACAAAATGAATCAATTGCAACACAATTGAACGGAATTAACGATACTATCTCCAATTATAACGATATCATATTTTTTGTACTCGATAAGGTTTATACAAGTTGTGCAGCTATTTAACTCACTTCCATTCTCGCATTTTAATTTATAATTCCCGCAGGAGATATCAAATTACAATTTCATTCATATTATTTCACTTGGCTTCATTCATGAATTTCAGATTACAATTTTTACATAGAATATCAAAACGTAATTTGCTTCAGTCTTATATTTGAATTTATAATTTTCACGTAAAATATAAAAACACGATTGATTGGATCTTTATATTTTAATTTACAATTTCGATTTAGCACATGAAAACGTCGTGAAACAAGATCAGATTCTTTCAAACAATTCCTCGGGATCGGTTTGGAATTTCATCTTTCATATTGAGGTCAGAGTTGCAAGTAACGCGAATGGGTTTGCGGATTTCAGAGAGTGGAACCAATCGCATAATGTGAGCTATGCCGGTAGCTCTCGGACCGTCCGAGTTGACGTTAATTCGGAAACACCTTACCCGACGAGTCTAATGTCCGGGAACGGAAAAGGCAACAACTGGAACAGCACCGGCTACGGAGCGGTGCAATACGCGCCAAGCGCGCCGATTGGATTTAACAGCGAGGAAACATTTCTATGCCACGGGAATCATTCGGAACCGTGCCCGGACTCCAATGCGAGTCTCATGGGACTTTTGTTGGCGCTCACGGTCCATGCCGTCCTCGAGGGACTCGCTGTCGGCTTGCAGAAATACACGTCCGAGGTGTGGTATTGTAAATTATTTCCATTTTTCCAATGAATTTTTATACCCAAATATATTAAAATGTATTTATTTTGTGAAATATTTGATGCTATTTGTATAAATATTTGTTATTTCGATAGCGAAACGTTACTTAAAACATTGAATGAAACAATAAATAAATCATTATATAGATTATTGCATTCTACAAAGTGGAATCAATTACACTATAGGTATTCCATTCCATGGTTTCAGGTCTTTCTACTGGTCGGAGCAGTCGCTTCTCACAAGTTCGTCGTCGGATTTTGCTTAGGATTAGAATTGGCCGGTGCCAATAGCGTCTTCTTCAAAATTCTGTTAGCAACTCTCGTGTTCTCTGGCGGGTCCGTGATCGGTATAGGAATTGGAATGATCACGTTTCGCGTAAGTCATGAATCTGATTCAGTACGACCTATTCATAATCTGTACATCCGAATCCCATCTAGATTGTACATTCGAACGAATGTATCAATCAGATTGATCACCTGATCGGATTCTTGAAATTTATACGGCTTTCAAGGAACCAGGTCTCCTTTTAAATACAGTTGATACATTCTAAATTGTATTAATTTTTAATGTACGTCGTATGATACAGAGATATCATATAGATCCAATGTTTAAATTTAATTTAGAAGAGGATTGGTCCAATTTTAAATTAAAATTCAACATAGATAGTTTGTCGAAGGTATTAATTGAACCGGCGATTCTGGTGATTTGTACAGATGACGAATCAATGGACGGAGGTGGTAGTGCCGATCTTGCAAGGTTTGGCGGGTGGAACGTTGCTCTATGTGACGGTCAGCGAAATTTTGCCGCGGGAGAGAGCGCGATGGCATAGGAGTCCGCGACGCGTGGCTGGTATTTTGCAGCTTTTATCAGTGGTTGTTGGATTTGTCATCATTTTCCTTCTGAACAAGTACGTGACTGAGTCGTGAATCATCCGTTATTTACCTTCAGTTAATCGACAGACCAAATCTTACACTGCAAGAATCAACGAATCGTGGAAGCAAATATGTTTTGCGAGTTAATGTACGATAGTCCACTTCTATAAAGAAGACACTCTGATCCTATTAAGAGCAATGATGCCTTCTTTATAGAAATAAATTATACTTACAATGAGTAATTTTTATTTTCTACATATGTATAATATTGTATGTTCATTTGCGCCGTTATATTTGTTTATGTATGAGTAAGATTTATTTTATAGGAACATGGATGCTCCAAAGAAAGGGGGAGATAAAGGGGGAGGAGATAAGGTACTTTAAATATTACGTAAAAATAGAACGCCGTGACGAAATCGATACGGGGTTTGAGCTCTTTTTCTTAGTTCCTTTGTGGATTTAAAAAGTGGTAACGCCAATGTATGGTGAATGAAATCCTTATGTCGAGCTTCATGAAATCAAAATCGACGATAGCTAAGGCTGAATTATCATATTAAAGGTCGTGTACTCCGTCCTTTATTCATTGGTACAAAATGATTTTCATTTTCATAACAAGATATCTGGACTGCAGATTTTATCTATTATTATTACAAAATTCATTACAAAAATTAATGAATGTAAAAGATGCGTATGATATCCAATAATATACAATTAAAAGTGATTTTATATAAAAATATGCAGTCTAGATATCATATATATTTTCTTATATGTACTGATTAGATATCTTATTTTATTATCGCAGTCAACGTATCTAATTTTGTAATATTGAAATCCACTCAGTTCGTAGAATGCAATTATCTCACAAGAATTCATTATTAGAATTATCTACAATTTCATCGTGTTACTATGAATAATGAACATAATTACAAGAACGATTTAATTACTTTCATGAGCCACTTAAACTAGTAATTGCTCCTCTCCGTGAACGAGAGTGTTAATTACAGTTACATTTAATTAAAAGTCCGTAATATTAAGTAAAAATGTGCGATTGTTAACCCATCGATTTTAATAAAGCAAGATTACTTTTTTACGAGACGTTGTATAATCCACCTCTTTTATTACAACTTTCAATGAAATGAAGTCCCCTGGTTGGCTTTGAAATCCATTCAACAACGAGTGGTTGACGTAGATTGCTGCTACTTCCAAGTCATTCTTGATAAATTGGATCAAGATTTACGGAATATTTAAATCCGCATTTTTAAACAAATTACCAATTAACACAGTCCGAAGAGTTCTTGTTACTCTAGGTTTGCTTGGTTTTTAACATTAAGTTGTTATATACTTTGCAGAGTCATATTTCTGTCATTCCTAAATAAGCGCACTTAGAAGTTTCTTGATTATTAAGTTTTTGAAGAACGAGGATTTGTTATTAAGTTTATTCTAAATATTGTAGGACAGTTGAGATTAAATTGTACGAACTGGAATACATTTCATCACATCCTCTTTAAAGTATCCGAAAAAGATTAAGTTTTATGTAAATATACGTCTAACAAAATTCATTACTTAAATTTGTAAAATGATTGTAAAATATATTAGCATATTTCTTATAAAGAGATTTTAAATAAATTTCATCGGAATGCGTTGTATAAAACTGAAAATCGAAATATTCTATTGATGCACGCAATACAAGCTGTAAATTATTCAGTGTGCCAGCATGGAGATTGGAAAAGTGATATGTTTCCATTCACATTCACCGTGACTGTTTCTTGGCACCTTTATTAGCACTCGCTAATCACCTGTTTCGATTTTTCCTTTTAAATTTATTTTATTGTTCCAAGATTCTGATCTGATTGAATACCTCTGATACATAACTAACTTTTTAGTTAATCATTAAATTGTTGATTTTTATGCAAAATATAATATACAGACTGCGGTTTTTACCTACAGAAAAACTGCATTTGCATGAAATATAAAGACGTGATGTATTAAAGTATGCAGAATATCAAAAGCTGAGTTTATACTGTAATAATTAACTGGTGAAAAGAGTTTTTATGTAAAATTCGTTTGTTTCGGTTTGCATAGAAATCCTCTTTTCCGATTATTTAAAAAATTGAAATTTACGAAACAAAAGGTTCCGTATGCAGCCTGACACGGTGTTCGAGTTTCTTTTATAAATTGTAACCAAACGGGCTTTCACTATTCTGGACCACGTCTCCTGCAGAAATAACTACGCCTTCGAAACTGTCGTTTGGTTCGCTTCAATAACAACTTGCCTGTCCCTGCTCCCTTCGACGCGAACCGAACGAGAAAGTTTATTCAAAATTCTCCTTATCGAAACTGTTACGGTTCGTTCTTAGCAGAAAGGAGAGACGAGGAAGAGAGGTTCCCGAAGAATTTCTTGGAAAATCCTATATGCAACTCACGCGGTGGCAACGCAGACGGCTCTATCGACTTTAAATTCCCTAATAAAGGACGGAAATGCGGGTCCTCGCGATTGCGATGGCGATTGTGAACTCGATCTCATCTGCGCTTGTCGTCTGCGACAGAATCTTCACTTCTTTGTATTACATGGAAAAATTAATATTTCTCGTGTGATCAGCAACAATCAAAATAAAATTGATATATTGTTTCTCTCAATGTAGTACCGAAATTTTGATTTGTAATGAAATTTTAATATGATATTCTTGAAGGTATGAGCTTTCGAACAATGTAAAAAAAGAATTTGATTTTTTGAACGTGTCACTCTGGTAACACTCCTTAACATTTTTAAATATTAATTTATGATTTCCCCTTAATATCTTCGTTTCTCTGGTTAATTTTGGAAGTTCGAGTAATAAGCAGCTGATAAAGGAGATCTAGTTCCAGCAAGGCAAGAGCGAATCGGTACGATTTAAATTAGCCTGTCGCACTTAACTGGGACAAGATAAGCCGGCTGTGCCGGCCGGAAGCAACAAACGCCATTACGAGGAGGCAGATAGAAAACCGGGTCCTTCGAGGAGAATCCAACGTCGGATTTAAATAACCCGCTAATGGATTGAATTCTCTGGCGTAATTTTACGTTCTAAACAATTGGCGGGATGAAATTTCGTCGGCGAGGAAAACGTCCAACGGGATAAACGGGAACGGTCCAAACCAACTTTGTAATCGTGCCTGCAATTTCCTACCGGCACCGTGGGCTCTTCGCGTAAAAACGGCTCGCTTTCATTTGGTAAATTGCACGGAAAACTTTCGCGCTTGAAACACAGATAAATAATTAACCCTTGTTTGCGACTTTTTCTCTTTTTTACGAGCGTTAACATTGTGCATATGCGAAATTAGCTACAGTTTAGCGACAGTACAAATCAACGCGTTCTTTCTAAATGTATTACAATTATAAGTTATTAAATAGTATAGATATTTCTTAACCAACAGCATCTTTTCAGATTTTAATTTTAAGTTTGTTATGAAATACTATTGAACAATACAATAATAAATTGGTTGTATCTATAGAATAATAAAGTATGAGCAAATTGCAATTTGAAAAAAGTTTCAGTAGACAGAGGACGGGAAGTTAATACTTTTAGGCTTTCAGGCTTTCAGGCTTATGCAATTCCATTAACAGGATTTTGCAAAAATTCACACAAGATACCTTTTAACGCAATTTCCCAACGAATTATCTTAGATAATTATTTCAATTGACTGAGAAATGAAAAGTTAATACGGTATCAGCTCCTATCATTGATATTACTTTTCTAAAAATATAATTTAAATCAAAATATGAAGAGAATAAGTTTAACTGTATTTGATGAAACGGACACGAATCACTCTCAATAAAATCTATCGACCGTCGCCGTCATCAGTCTGCTCTTTTTCGCTACGATATTCATTTTTGTATCGCTGAGTGAAATGATGTATCCAAACTTGTATGAAATATCGTTTATCAATAGAACAGAACAGAAAGCGCGATGGAAACTTCGATTGAAGTTGGCACAGTGAACTATAAATAATCTGCGGTCGTATTAAAAAGTTGTGATAAGGAATTGATTTTTCGCAAACCGGTAACCGCAAATAAAATATTGCTCCATGAAATTGTGTACATACTAAATATTCATATCTCGCTTCAGCGATTCGTGTAATATTATATTATACTGTGATCAATAATATTTAATATATTTCGTCATCAATTCATTGTAATTCCTATACTTCATATAAAGTATACAGTATTTAAAATGGATGTTAGAATCAGAATATCGTACACCAAATTATCTTGTGCTAGAGGAAACCAAAAGAGAGGAAATAATAATTTCGACCAGGCCAAAGAGTGATAAAAGAAGAAAAACTTGAGAAATTTTAAGTCAGTAAGGTATGGAATAAGTAAGGAGGTAAAGGAAAGATGTAAGAGAAACGCTAAGTATAAGAGATATATATATAGGGTGCTTACGAAATGGTGGTACAACCGGCAAGGGAATGATTCCTCAGATAAAATCTAGTCGAAAACAAGGAATATAGTTTTTTATAGATCGAATTTTGTTTGATTATGCGATTTAATAGATACAATTGAATAAAATAATTTAATATAAATTGGTTAGATAAGAGAGAAACGTTGGTGAAAGAAATTTTATCCTTTTGCAATCTTGCAGTAAAACAACAGCTGAGGAGGAATTGAAAAATTCTCATCACGGTTCGATTAGCATTACCCATAAGAGCGGACGTCAAAGCGATGATATATCCTTCAGCTATCGCGATTCATTTTTCATCGAACTTTGTTTAAATGGTGCATCAGTCGCCTCTGGAAAATTAATCATCGTTTCGATGAAACTTCACTAATACTTCTTTACACGAATAATAATGTGCGAATGATATTAATTGGGGAAAGTACGAGAAGATGTTACAAGTTTCATGTTGCCGAAGGAATACTATATTTACAAAGTTAATAATGAAAACAGGTATTCAGTGTTAAACTATTTGGAAAATAAAGTTTGTTAATGGTTTAAAATTTAAACGAATCAAATAATCCATGCAGTTAGAATTCCACGCTACGATAAATGCGTAAATGGTTACTGTAACGTGGATTAAGCGTCCGGGTTCGATCGGTTAGGGAGCCTAGACCGAGTTAATCAACGGGCTTAATTCGCGGTGAGTTAACCCGGTACGACCGTCACTAAGCTGAAATATGAAATTACGCGAAATCCCACCGCATCTAACGGAGGCCTCTGCGTGAATCCGGAGAGTCCACGAGAAAACCTCGATTGTGTTTAAAATATGAACGGCGAACAAAGCTGCTTCGTTATTCCTGACTACTCTGCGGAACTACCGCTGAACTTGGGATACATATTTCAGTTTGTTTGATTTGAATTTTGTGGCTCGGTTTCTGTGGGCTCTCTAATATTTACCTGGAACGATTTAAATTTGAAGATTTTCGGAGCACTGAAATATTCATGAATCAATATCGATTTGTATTTCACAAGAATGTATGTTCCATTTATTATTGTACTAGCACTCCCTATCGTGGCTTCACTCGCAATCCTTTTATTTTATTGAAAGATAGTAAATTTTATCTTTTATTCAAAATTATTACTCTTTATTTGTCCCCTTTTACCATCTTAAGGTTTGAAAAACCCAGAAATTGTTTTGTAGTATTTTTGTAGTATGATATTTTGGCATCAGAACCAGTTCGATATCTTATCTATGATACTAATTATGATTATACATATACGATATATGTATATTAGTTTTTGTTTCGTTAGCTGTTGATGAGTGAACCAGGAAGCTTACTCTTTTACACACATATATAAATTATGTCTTGTATTTTGTTAATAATATTTTTATTTGAATTATTAAAACATCTACGACAGCAAAGATTAGTGATTTGAATTTTTAAAAATTGTAATGTCAAATTACCAACAATTGTTCGTTATTTAATTATGACAAGATAATTGCAGACTTTTGATTTCTCCATGAGCGTCCTTTTCATTTTATATTCGACTGGTTAACTCGTTCTCGAGTGCATGTAAATGGCGATATAAATATAGCTGGACACTGAAGCGTGCACTTCACGAGCCCTTAACTCTTACTTTCTTTCAGCAGGTTGGCTATCGATCGGCTCGGCATCGATT